TATCTAAGACTTCCAATCAGACTTCGGTATTTGCTTGCATCAACTCGGTCTCCATCTGCATACTTAGAAATTTTTGTACCAGGTTCCATAGGGGTGGAAACTGGGTTGCAGCTTGTCATCTTAAACTTCTTCAAGACCTCCTCAGCATACCTTTCCTACGACACAAAGATGTCATCCTTTTCCTGAACAACTTCTAAGCCAAGAAAATACTTCATAAGACCCAAGTCAGTCATCTCAAACTTCTTCTTCATCACTTCTTTAAACTCTTCAATTAGCTCGACATTATTCCCCATGAAGATAAGGTCATCAACATATAGGGCAACAAACATCACATCTTCTCCTTTCTTCTTTATGTATAGAGCATGTTCATAAGGACACTGCTCATATCCATTCCTTTTGAAGTAAGTGTCAATTTTTTCATTACATGCTCGTGGAGCTTGTTTCAAGCCATAAAGTGCCTTCTTCAATCTCAACACTTTCTTCTCTTCTCCTCTTCGCATGTATCCGAGTGGCTGTTCAACATATACTTCCTCCTCCAAGATTCCATTCAGAAATGCCGACTTCACGTCCATCTGCAAGATTGTCCATCTGTGTTGAGCTGCTAACCATTCTCGTCACTGGGGCAAATACTTCGTCATAGTCTATTCCTTCTTTCTGCTTGTACCCCTTCACTACGAGTCGAGTTTTATATCGCTCAACTTCTCCTTCAGCATTTGTCTTCTTCTTGTACACCCACTTTACGTTGATAGGCCGCGCTCCTTTGGGCAAATCAGTCAGCTCCCATGTGTTGTTGCATTCTACTGCCCCGATCTCCTCGTCCATTGCATTTTTCCACCTTTTCTCCTGCACGGCCTCTTCAAAACTTAAGTCTTCTGAATCTGCCAAGAGACATACAACATGCACTTCGTCAGTGGAGTTGTATATATCTTATAAACTTCGCGCTCTGGGCTGTAGAGGTTCATCTTCTTCATCAGAAGTCTCGTGATCTCTCATAGTATGTGGTGTATCAACTTCCGAGCTTTTACTTCCTATGGACTCCTTCTCCGAGTTGTTCCAACTCCACTCGCTTTCTTCATCAATTTGAACATCTCGGCTCATGATGACCTTCTTAGTTATTGGGTTAAACAACCTGTACGCCTTGATTTTTTCATCATACCCAATAAACACGTACTTTTTGTTTCTATCTTCGAGCTTGGTCCTCTGTTGAGCTGGAACATGACCATAAGCTATGTTACCGAACACTTTAATTTGAGACACACTCGGTTTTCTTCCACTCCAGACTTCTTGCGATGTCTTCTCATTTAGCTTAGCATGTGGACATCTATTTTGCACATAGATGGCACATTGCACAGCTATTTTGCACATAGATGGCACATTGCACAGCTTCTGCCCAAAACTCCTTTGGCACGTTTTTGCTTCTCAACATTGTTCGAACCATGTCAAGAATGGTTCGATTCTTCCTCTCGGCAACTCCGTTTTGTTGGGGTGAGTATAGTGCTGTCAGAAATCTCTATCCCTTGCTCATCGCAATACTTTATGAGTTCGGATGAAATGAACTCGCCTCCTCGATCAGACCTAACAGATTTGATAGGCATGTCAGTCTCTTTCTCAACCATTGCTTTAAATCTCTTGAACACCTCGAACACCTCGGATTTCTCCTTCAAAGAATATACCCAGGTTTTTCTTGAAAAATCATCTATAAAAGAAATGAAATACCTTTTCCCACTGAAGGACTCAGGGGTAATCGGTCCACAAAGATCTGTGTGAATCAATCCGAGTTGTTCCTTTGCACGGTACTCGGCCGTCCTCGGAAATGAGGTCCTCAGATGCTTCCCGAGCACACACTCTTCACAGAATTTCTTTTCAAATTCCATAGACAGGAGTCCTCGCACCATCTCTTTCTTTACCAACTCGGTCAGCCCGCCAAAATGCAAGTGGCCAAACCGAAAGTGTCACATCATTGCTTCATCCTTCACGTCAAGTTTCAAGCACCTCTCTTGGACTATCTTCAAGTCCAGCTTGTACATTCTGTTCTTCTTCATTTCTACTCGGGCAATCAAACGATCTGACTTGTCCTTCAGGTATAGTACTCGGTCTTTCATCAAAACCGAGTAGCCTTTCTCCATCAGCTGGCCCATGCTCAATATGTTGTTTTTGAGATCGGGTACATAGTACACGTCTCTGATTTCTCCAACTCGGTTATTCTTCTGCAGGTACCAGATTGTACCTCTGCCTTTTACTGCCACCTTTGATGCATCTCCAAATGACACGTGTCCGGTCTCAACTTTAGTGAGCTCCTTAAAAAGGTTCTTGTCTCCGCACATGTGGTTACTTGCTCCTGTATCAAGATACCAAACTGAGTTGTCAGAACAGCTCGGACTTAGCTCAACATCCGAACTTCTCGACATCATCAATACTCCTTCCTCAGTGTCCTCAGAGAGGAGGTTTGTCTCCTTCTTCCTCTCAGATCGGCAGTCATTCGCGAAATGCCCAACCTTCCCACAATTATAACATTTGGTACATGAATAGCAGTCCTTAGCAAAATGACCGTACTTCCCACATTTGAAGCACTCAACTCAGGAATTGTTTGATCGACCACCTCGGCCTCTACCGTCACGACCTCTACCTTGTCTTCGGCCACGCCGGTTTGTTGGTCGACTCGACTCCTTGCCTCTTTCATATTCTCCTCTGCCTCTACCACCTCGGCCTTGAGTGTTCTGAGCATAAGGAACCTTCTTCTCCTTTAAGGTTGTCTTTGCTTGGAGTGCTTGATCAAGGGACTCCTCTTTCTTCTTCCTTCTCCGCTGCTCATGCGCTTCAAGCGACCCGGCAAGCTCTTCCACCGAGAGCACCGACAAGTCCTTGGACTCTTCTATTGCACAAACAATATTCTCAAAGTCGTCAGTTAACGACCTTAAGATTTTCTCCACCACTCGGCAAGTGGGCAGCGTCTCTCCATTTCTTCCGAGTTGATTTACCACGGTCTAAACATGGGAGATGTACTCGGCAAACCCCTTCGACCTCTTTCATCCTCATGCTTTCAAGCTCGCCTCTAAGAGTTTGAAGCCTCACTTGCTTCACGCGATTATCCCCTTTATATGCCTTCTCCAGAATATCCCACGCTTCTTTTGAAGATTTAGCATTTGCTACCTTCTCAAAGCTGGACTCATCAACAGCTCGGTACAACACGTACAAAGCCGTTTTGTCCTTTACCTGTGTTACTCTCAATGCAGCAAGCTGGGCAATCGTCTGCTCTTCAATATTCTCTGGTTCTTGGTGCCCATTTTCGACCACATCCCATACTTCCTGGGAACCAAGGAGAGCCTTCATTTGCAGGTTCCAGTTATCATAGCTTACGCCTTTCGATAACTTTGGCAGGGGCATGCTGTTAGCTAAGTTGGTCATCTTGAACAAACTCTCTAACTCTCAAACACTCTCTCTAACGCACTCAGACACTCAGGCTCTGAAGCTCTGATGTCAATTTGTTGACAAGCAAGTATCTAAATAAAGCACTCTGTATATTATCACTTGATGTGTTTGCAATGAGTGATACATGTTCAATTTATAGGCCTTTGGATATGCCCTTTCAACTACATGCATTTAATACTACTACCTTTCAACTACATATATTCAATACAACCACTATCTCTCAACTACATACATTCAATACAACTACTACCTCTCAACTACTACCTCTATAACCACTACCTCTCAACTACATGCATTTAATGTTTACCTAATAGTTTATACTAGGAAAAATAGAAATATCCGATGAGCTGGAAAAGAGAAGAAAAGGAGAGTTAGTCACCGATTATTTGATTTTCTTATAACTAAGAGTGTGTGCTCTGAGCAGGAGTAATTATTGCTAACTGATTTTTGTGATTAGCATAAACAATTCCGCACCACAAGCATCAAGTTAATGTAAAAAAAATTAAGTTTTCACTTAAGTCAATTGAACCAAACTAAATAAAGACCCACAGAATTTGGAATAACTTCTGATTTGTTTTCAAGCTTTGGACAGCGCAAGAATATTAGTTTCAAAAAAATATACTTTGTATACTGTTTCTTGACTGTCTGTAGGGATCAAAACACAAAATTCTACAAACATAATTATTCTCTATTTTGAAATGAGATTATGTTCATACAGTATCTTCTTGACTCGATTACTTTTGTTTCTACTTTTGATCTTTTTCTTAGCATGGATATCTTATCCCTCTTTCTTGTGACCTCAACTACGTAGGACCCAAATCAAACAAAAATTTTAAAATTAAATCAAGGTGTTCTTAATGGTTTCATTAGGGTTTCCCCATTCTTTCTCTACTTGTATCGGGTTATCATCCATTTGATCTACTTTATTTACTAGCATTTTTGTTGTATAGTAATTACCAATATCAACCGATTTTTGTGATACACATTGAAGCCATGGATGTTCACTTTAGGAGCTTCCTTCACAAATCCAATTGTGGTCACAGATACTCCCTGCACAATTAATAAATAAATAAATAACAAAATAAATTATAGCTACCACCTTGTTTCAACTTCTTAGTCCTTAAGATTTGAACCACTAATCATCAATATCAATATAGAGTCATGCATGAATGATAGATATGAAGCCATCTGATTTAAGGTTTTTGCATTATGTATATAATATCATTTGTATTTATTCACTTTGATTCGTGACACAATATTAGAGCCTTAGGGGACAATATCCAAAATTCAGTCTTTATTACCCCTATTATTTTCAATAAAAATTAATATTTCAACACAAGGTAGAGTATGCCCACGAATTGTCCACAATTTAAGCTAAAATGGCTATTGTGTGAGGGAACATTTTAGTTACAAATTCATTTATATGGTTTCACCCAACAGTTTAAACTATTGAGATAGTTGTCATGACAATGCATATCTATTGGGTAGAATCAACTCTCTTAAAAGCTTTAGTTGTTAAGGGAAGTGATTTTACATTATTTTATTTATAACTAACATAGCCCAAGATGATTTTACAGCAAGTTAGTAAAGAAAAGAACCTCTGTAGGACCACCCCTGTGTGGTTTATACAAGACATATTCTGTATATTTGAGATCATCTGCAATGTTGTGTAGATTCACAACTTTCCCTCGCATTACAATTTTAAAGCGTTCCCTTATCCCCAAGTACAACATGGATAAGTAAGCCTGTATAAGATGAAAACATTAGCCTAGAGAATATCCAATCTTCTATGTAGCCAGTTAAGAGCATAAGTTTCAAAATCAAGCATACTCGTAAAGAATAATGATAACGGTTGGCAATGTATTCCTCATTTACTGTCTTCCAGCCAGGAAGTGTGGCAACCTTCTTGATATCCCCAGAAATACGAACATCCTGCACCCAAATATCAGAAGTTCCCTAAGTAATGAAAGCATTATTCAATAACTGCTAGCTAAGAGGGAAAGTAAAAGAAAAAACAATAAAACAAAAAATCACAACCTCAGGATCAGAATCAAAGTCTAGCTCCAAATTGCCATCGCCATTGAACCATAAATTAAAGATAATAATTTTAGTACCATGACTTCCAATGTCACCAAACTGCCAATAGTGAAGGATATTGAAAGATAATCATAAACTTTGAAGGAATAAGCTTTGCCTCTTCAGGAAACAGCAAACATTAAAAACAACTTCATGTGCTACACTAATTAATTTACAACGATTTACTTGGCCATGTTTAATCTTTAACTTGCTCCATAAACTTGTACATTAGTGGCAAACAGCAGTATACTTGAACTTTGATTATGGTTCAGAAAGACAATGGAACACAACCACTATTGCAGAAACTGACTCTGATACAGTACCAATGTGATAGCAATCCGCGACCCAACAGGATACAATTTTCAAGACTACTCTCAAACCTTCAAGGGATTTGAAAAATCTGCGCTCTCCCTCCCAAATTTTACTCAAACAAAAAAGCCACTCTATTTTTACTTTACCTCTTATTGCTTATATCATCAAACCCCTTCTGTCTTTCCCTAACACTCTAATGCCTAAATATATAAACCAATTATCATCATCAACCCAAGAAAAAAGAGTATTATAATAAATCTATCTAGTCTCTAAAAAGATTAGTAATAGAAAGAGATGGACCCAACAAGGGCATTAAGACAATCCATAAAACAGCCAAGAAATTCTAAGAAAACAATTCTCTCTCATAAAAGGAATCCCAGGCTTCCTTATTTAAAATCTGATCCCGGTGCTAACTCCCAAGAGAATCCTAATAAGAATTTTAAGGAACTCAAAAAAGGGGAAGATCTTAAAAGAAAACTATATGTTTGTGTTGTAAGGCTGTATGTAAACTGGGGGAAAAGAAAAGGCAAAGATAAAAAAATATGACAATCATGCAAAGCAAATTTTTTTTCCATACATAAGAGGTTATGTTGTTTGGAACAACAAAGCAGAGAATAAAAACAAGCATAGCAATCATTCAGTATGTTCTGAAAGTGGCAGCCAATTATCATTGATGATATGAAAATTTCAGAAACTGACTTGCTTAAGAAGTTCATCTTCTGATAGATATGGAGACCAGTGCAACAGAATGGACAAATTAGACCTAAAATGATCTTCGTCATTTAGTATTTCCAAGTATTCAGTTGATGTATCAAACTTATAATTCACCTGAAATTAACATGATCACTTAATCACAACAATCAAAACTGCAAAAGAACCTTGAATATATTATTGTATAGAAGGGTAATGACCGAAAAGAAAGTACAAGCAATACACCATATCATAACAATTGTAGACAAGACAGAAAAATGCTGGCAATAAGTATCGACTGCATCCACCGTGACAATGCCAAGTTAACTGTTACAAGTACTGCTGGCAACAAAAGTTACTACAGTTGGCAAGGTTGGAATCCCACAAAGACGTGAGTTTGAGTCCCTCTACCGATGTAAGGACCTTGTTGGTGGATAAAATCTATAAGTATCCTTAAGCCTGAAGGCCCACCCTGGTGAACCCCCAGAACCCAACTGGCCTAAACTATCTCTACTCAATTTTGTTTGTTGATTAGGCCAAAGTTTCCATTAAAGAAATAGCCTTTTTTTATCTCTCTCCTGATTTTTCTTATATCACTTAACTCCCTCCCATGTAGTTTGGTTTTCTGTGAAAATGTAACTCCATTCAGTTAAATAGAACAGAACCCAAATACTTAAAGCCTAACTTCAGAAGGTAAAGTGATAAATCAATAAACTTCAAGGGGATAAGCAATAACGCGAAACTACTTTTGTTATGGTAATGGTGTAAAGGTTCTTAAAGCTCCTTTGAACTTGACTGAAAAATAAATTATTTGGTTTGAAAATTTGTTTTTTGTCTACATTGATTTTGATAATAATAATAATAATACTAATAATAATTATAATATAAAAAGGTCACATTTTTAAGTTTGTTTCTCAAATTCAATTGCTGGCATATGAAATGGTGAAAACAATATTGTTTTCAGCTTCTTGAAAATTAAGTAACTTTTTTATAATTATTATTTATTAGTAGTAATGAACAATAGCAAAAACAAAATTTGAGAAAATGTTTTCTTAACCCAAACAAGCCATAATTGTTTCACATAAAACTAAACTTCAAGGATGTTCAGTGATAACAAGTAAACTTATGAGAGGTAAGTTGCAGAATGGCCTGTAGTTCATGTCTCAAAAAAATTAATGACTTTCCAGAAGATATAATTACGACCAAAATAAAACATGATACTTCTTTTTCAAACAATCAGGATAAAGGCACAATGTAACATGGTAATTTCCACTTCTTTTGTAACAAATAAGCATATAAAATGAATTTTAAAAATGTCTACTATTTAAACCAGAACCTCTGAAAAAGTAAAATTGGGAAATACAACTCACCATGGGAATTACGACTCTGTCATGCTGTGTTCGTCTCAAGAAAGTATAAGACAGAAGTCCAACGCTTTGAGTTAATACCCTGATCAACATACAATAAGTAGAGAAAAAGAAAATGTAATGATAAACATACATAGAATGGATCAATTTTAAGGCTATATCCTCCACATACAGGAAGTTCAAATTCTTAACAGTAGAGCACTGTTATGATTTTCTAAAACACCTTAATGTATATTTTCAAATATATATATATATATATAAAAACACACACACATTAGAAAAATTGTTTCATCATATAAACTAAAATTATCTATGTTATGTAATAGAACAGGAAGAGCAATGCTCAAACAAACTAAAAAATCATGAACTTCCTGACACATACGTATTATTTTGGCAGCGGCTGAAGACAATGACATCCGCACCTAGTCTCATACTACCAGTTTTGAAGCCATTTCCATCTACAATGCCAAACGGAAAAATAAATACCAAATGAAAGCACCAAAATATTGCAAACAGGATGCGATAGTTCATACACTGTCCAATGGCAATTTTCGACTTGTCTGAAAATCCAAAACTCATGCATTGGCGCATTACTTCTGGATCCATTCCACCACCATCATCTGTTAGCAAAGATCAGAACAATATAAAAAAAATACAAATATTAGATATTGCCAAATCATCAAATACAGAATGAAAATACAAGACACAAGATTCAGAAGTAGGATGATATTTGATGAACTATCAACTTCCTACTACTGGCTAATACCAAAAGCAATATATATACCTTGAATCAACAATGCTGGACTTCCATCTTTTGGGTTTAAAATTTTATCTACAACAACAGAAGTAGCCCCATTTTGGATCTACCCTATGAAAAAAAGTCAATAATGCATTACAAGATCATGACATGCAAAATCTTAAGCGAAATCTTCAAACTTGGCAAAAGCATAAAACAGTAGAGGAAAAAGTATAAGAATGGATTTAGATCCTCTGAATTTGATAATTAACAAGAAAATGTCTTGTTAGAGAGATAAAAACTGAAAAACACAAAATTAACATACCCTACACAAATAATGGTAGGACTTACTATTATTGTTTTGCGTCTCTCTCTTATAACATTGTAAAATTAGTTACTAACATAATCCTGATCCATTAAGATTTGACAATAATAAATGCCAGAACAAATAAAGAATGGAATAAACATAAAACAGACATCAAAATCTAGTTCAAAATGAATGTATGAAATTTATTTCTATAGCAGACAGAGCGCACTTGGCATTGGGGGTTATAACCAAAAAACACTTCTAACAATCTTATGTAGTTCATATATTTCAATTTCAATTTGTCAGAAAGACCAAGCCAGATGAAGAAAAAATAAATAATCTTACGACAAGGATATAACACAAAAAAATAAGCATCTTACTGGTAGTTCCCAATAGCTTAACATGCTGCAAAAATTCAAAGAAAATAGCACAATGACTTTTAAACTAACTCTTTCATGGTTCAATCGCTGAAAATAATCACCTCATCAACTGCATTGTCGATAAGCTCAGCAATGGCTGCAGACAGAAGAAAAGAAGAATATTCTAATTTTGTGAAGAGAATTAAAAAAGGTAGGTCATTGGAAGAACCATTGACAATAAATAAGCTTTAAATAGACAGTTAGAACATACCACCGAATGCCCACTTATGTGAAGTTGCATTTGAGTGAAGGAACAAAGGGTGGACATGCAAGTAGTTCTCACTATCTGAAATGCAATTAAAAAATTATAGACAATCACGAGTCTAGAAACACAAACTCCCTTTGAACCTGCAGACTACAAGCTTAGTAAGTAGCATGTGGGATCCCCAAAACTATAATTCCTAATAAAGTCAAGGAGAGGTGGGTCTATTGACAACACATACACACCCAGTTTGTTGAGAATTAAATTTGATTCTTGAAAAATCAATCTTTATTTAAAAGAATATAAATTTTAAATGAAACTAAACTCTTACATGATCAAAGTTCTCGCGTCTCACCAAAAAGCCAAAAGTTAATTACCAAAGCCTACATGCTTCAAGCTTAGCAAGTAATATGTGAGATCCTAAAACTATACAATTCCTAAGAAAATACAGATGTGACTCCAAAGGCAACGCATGTTAAGTTTGTAAAAGGACTTAGAGACTTTAAATTGATTCCAATGTAACACATCTTCAAGAGAGAAACTTTAATCAAAAACTTGTTTCGAAAAGTAGTCTCTTGTACCTAGAAATACAAATAGGTGCCAAAAGGCAATTACCAAAAAAAAAAAATAAAAATAAAAAATCGAGTGAGGAAAAAATATTTGTTAGTAATCAACATTTATTTTACTAATATAATGCTGGTTGACAGAATATTGAGTAGATGACATACTAACTACACTAATTTGGAGAAAAAGGCTATTAAGTTACTTTTGAAGGTGAGTTTGGAAAGAAGATCATCATCGTAGTTTCCAGCTTTCCAAAAATTCCTACAGATTGGGGGAGAAGAAAAGTTTGTATCATCAACATCAACACGCAAGAAACCCTGTCCCTTTACAGCAGAATAACTATGGCAAGTGCTTAGAGCACCAGAGCTTTTATTTTCTTCAGAAACTTGTGCAGTAGAACCACTATGAGGTCTGTGATGGACGGTTACTTGCCCTTCCATCCTCGTTTCAGTTTGTTTTTTTGCGCTACTTGTAATAGCAGCTCTAGAACCAACATTCCCCCCCTCATCATCACTACACAAATCCACAACTTCTGTAACAGCCATTTTTGTTCCCTCTATCACCTTACTAGCCAAATATTTTCCTTTGCAGTTCTCACTTCTAACTCTCATGTTAGTCTCTACTTTATTATTACCTCCTTGGAACCTTCTAGAACAAGTTTCACCTTAAGCTAATCACATGAATAAAAATATAATAAAGTTTTTTTTTTTTAAGATTGTTTATATTTTTATTGATGGAAACATAAGCGGGTATGTACACGTATGTTTACATTTTATTTTTTATATATATCTTTTATATTTATTCATTTATTTTTGTTTTATTATATTTTTAAAAACATCTGTTTTGTACTCTTCACGTATATATTTTCTCACTATTCTTTAGATCTATTACTGAGTTTTTTTTTTCATTTTTACCAATTGTTTTCTATTCGTAATATCATGATAATTTATTGTTTCTATATTCTAATTCTAGTATTTATTCATTTATGGTACAATAAAAATAATTATTTTTTATTAAATAAAAAATAATATTAATATACGAAAAAATAATGATAAAAGAAATATTTAGTTTATATAATAATATAAATTTGATAAAATAAAATAATTTATTAAATAAAAAAATATATAAAAAGTGAAATCTTAGATACCAAAAAGATTCACAATATTTTTTTAAAAGTATTATTGAGAAACATAAAATTTTGTGAAAGATATATTTTATTTTTTTCCTATATCATTTGTAATACGTTCTCATTGAGAATATAATATTTATAGAAAAAAATACAGAATAATGTATGTTATAATAAAATGAATCACTTGCACTATTATGTAATTATGAAAAAATCAACATCAAATGTTGGAAACATATAATTCAATTCAAACTTACAAATTTAAATGAAATAGTTACACATTGATATATAATTGATATAGATGGTGCATTTGTTTTAAAAAAATTAATAGCATAATCATTTATAATTTAATAGCATAATCATTTATTATGCAGGTTAACATAGGATATGAGTTAAATTGGTAAAAGTTTTTTTAACAAAAAGGAGAATAATTGTAAGAAAAAACTTTGTTCACACTTAAAAATAATAAATTAAACAATAAACATATTATATATGTATTTATTAAATAATATTCATTAAAGATTACAAAAATTGTTAATAAATATAATCAAATAAGAATTGAGATTTATTTAATTTGTAATTTCTAAAAATGTATTCAATAAAAAATATCAATAAATATAATATAGCAGATATTGTTAAGCTTACTACTTTTTACATACTGTGGTCAGGGACCTTTGAAGCATAAGAAATATGTTTGTTAGTCAATCAAGAGAGAAAAGGACGCTCGTACAAATTTTGGATACCAAACGTCCAATCATCAAGAAAGGGACTTGTAGCCAAAATGAAAGAGATGAATTACAGTTGCATTTTGATTTTATATATTTGTTAAGTACAGTTGCATTTTGATTTTATATATTTGTTAAATAAAAACCAAAGAAATAAAAAAAAGTGAAAAAAATAGATAATGTTTGAGTAAAAAAAATAAAGAGTAGAAAAGAGAATTAAAAAAATGAAAATTAAATTAAAAGTAATTATTATTATTATTTAACAAAATACATACAAAATTTAAGAATATTTATTATTTAAAGAAATAATAAACGCATTTCTAAAAAAATTTATTTAAAATATTATTATTAATATATTTGTATTAATAATAATATTTACTATTTTATTGTTAATATTATTTTATTATTATATTTATATTGTTTGTATCTATTATTTTATTATGAAAAAAAGGGATGAGATTGGGTGCAATGAGATATATATACCCACATTGAATTCATTCAACTAAAGAAAAAAATAAATAAACATGTAAGAGGTAAGGTAACAGTCATTTAAATTTTGTTCTAAATAAACCTGTCTTTTTAAAAAATTCCCAAATCAAATTAATTCCCAAATATTTACCCAATGCTTTAGTTTTTTTTTTTTCTTTATTCTTTTCAGTTCAAAATTCAGCTCTCTAATGTTTTGGTCAGAAAATCGGTTAAAATTAGGGTTTGGGAGAGTTAAATACTGACCTGATTTTCCTTTTATTGATAGTGTATTGTCCTCCCCTTTCATTGCGTTAAATGCATTATGCTGTTGTTTTTGCAAATTCATAAATCTATTGTCTACTAAGATTTCTCCACATTTTACTTCCCACTTTTCTCAATTATTAACCGAACCAAATTTTTTATAGTTTCTTTGGGAAAGGTTGGCTTGTCAAACGAAATATCCACCAGATTATCCACCAAATTTTTTATAGTTTCTTTGGGAAAGGTTGGTTGAGAGCTGCGCCACTCCTGTGCTGGTGAAAAGCAATGAATTTCAAGATATTGGGGTGTGTGAGAAGTAAGTCACAAGTGCAATGAAACCGAAGATCATTGTGTGTGGATTGGCATAGGGAGTCTACAACTAAAAATAAACTTGATTGTTAGTTATTTGTTAATGGATGTTGCAAAATTATTATTTACTTCTACCTTGATTAAAATTTTTATTTCCTTTTATATCTTTAACTTCCTTAATATCTTTAATTTCCTCTTCTTCAACCGTTGAAATTATCAGGAACGCTACCATTTTGACGAATTTAGACAACTTTATTGGGATGCATTTTACTCTTAAACGCTGTTTCATTTACTTTTCCCGTCGATGTTTGTGGGACTCAATTAATACAGTAATTCATAGTCAAACTTCACCATCATGGTGCCTAAAATCTTGTTGGTCCAAATATTGTGACCTTTCAAATGAGGGGACATCATCATTACTTGATAATTACAGTTAAGTTTTTCATCTAATTTAAGTTTGTAACCATCTCTCTCTTTGAAATAAACTTCAAAAGAAATTTTGATAACTGGAGAACTCTTTTGTTTTTCACCCACTTAAATTTGTTAACATTAAATCTCTCACAAACTTACAAAAACCAACGCCCGGTGTAACCCATTCTATTCTAATTAAAATAATAAAATTAAAACAACCCATTCTATACTAATTAAAATAATAAAATTAAAACAATAACCATATATGAATGCTGAAGGGAGGAAGAGACTGAAAAAACTCTCAAATGTTTTAATTCGCACGGAATCTTACTCTCACTTGACTGATACAAACGTGAATCCCATGGCTCAGTTTATAAGAAAATTAAAGTATAAAATATTATAAACTTAAATAGGAATTGATCTAAACATGAAATGAAATTTTCTGGCACATCCCTTTGCAATTTTTCTTTAATATTTTAGGCATATCAGTAATTTTCTGCGTCGAAGACATTCTGCAATGCAACTCAATAGTCAATGAACTTCTTCACACTGTAGCAATTGACACATAATCCCATTTAGTTCCTTGTCTTGCATCTTATGTTGAGCAAACTCCATTCATCTTCTCCTTTGCTTCACTTCCAATCTTGCATGCACATCAGAATTTTATATAATCAACTTTAATATTAAGCTAATAAGGAGAGTAATGACTTTCCTCAGTTTTCTCTTATGCTTCGTTCAGCTCACCCCTGAACGGTACTAGGATCATCCTAAGATTTCAGGTGCCTCGTTCAGTTTTCTCCAGTACTGTTAAATCATCATTTGGAATTAGTGAACTGGTGGTGCTGTGGAAGGAGGACCTTGCACTTGCATCATGCCAACTTGAGGATAGAGAGCGGTCATTTTGACTTAGACCACTGAAATTGAGGAATGGTTGTTGCTTTGGGGAGGGAATAGCGTAGTCTTTCTTGGTTAACATCTGAACTACTTCAGACATGGATGGTCTGAGAGCAAGAGATGATTGTGTACAAAGAAGGCCAGCTTGGAGCGCATGTGATGCTTCTTCTACTGTATGTTTACCGTGCAGAGCAGGATCAACGGATGCTGTTATATTATTTGCTTTGTAATTCTTCCACACCTGAGCATGAGATAAATAAAAAGAACATGCTAATGGCTGCTGGTGAAATTCACTAATACCAAAAAGTTTCGGTGTGAGTAGTAAATCTTACGCTGTGAAGTAGTGAAGTTGACCCCGGTATGTAATCATTGTTCTTCTTACCACAAACAATTTCAACAACTAACACACCAAAAGCATAGACATCTGCCTTCTCTGTCACTTGTCCTTTTGAAACATATTCAGGAGCCATATATCCCCTGCCATAAGCAGTTGACTTTAATATGGGATAAGACCAATTATGTAACACAAGTGAAATTTTTATTGAAATTCATTGAAACTTTGTTTGTCGATTCTAGGACAAAATTATTAAGAGGTTGAGATTCCACAGAAACGTTTTTACAATGGATTTGCAGTTTTAAACATCGCATAGTCTGGATATCAACTATAATTGTTACTATTAAGAGTATGTAACCAATTTCAGAATCCTCTTTTTTACATAAATTGAAAGGAAAGAATTTTTCTACTTACAGTGTCCTTGAATTTCCTGTCCTAAGAGATTTATTTTCAGTAATACTACGAGCAAGACCAAAATCAGCTATTTTTGGATTTAGATTCTCATCAAATAGAATGTTGCTCGACTTTATGTCTCTGTGAATGATCTTTGTTCCAGAGCCTTCATGAAGGTACGCTAGGCCCTCAGCTATCCCACATATGATTTGAAACCGTTGGTCCCAGTTCAGAGCATTTTCTGATTCCTTACCTGCACATTACAAGGGATCTATTCTCAATTTTGGAAATAATCATAGGATCAATATGTGTTAGTCAAGAACCAATAACAACGCTTAAAAGACAAGTCACCAATGAAAATCATGATTTTCCTCTGTAGCTACTTGTAGCACTTTTAATGAATTGTAAGAGACAGTATAAATAACACCCCAAAGTTTCCAAATACCGATTAAATGTGTTCGATTAAGAATACACAAGACAATTACATATGAACAAATGTCTCTCTAGAAAAAACAACAATTTCAACTAGTATTGCTCAAACTGGACAACTCACCGAAAAGGACTTGATCAAGACTTCCATTGGGCACAAATTCATAAACCAACAGGCTTTCAGGACCTTCAATGCTGCACCCCAACAGCTTCACCACATTCTTGTGTTGAATCCCATTAATCAAATTTACCTCATTGAAGAACCCCTCTGTCCATTGCCGTTTATTAAAAAACAATCGTTTAACAGCAACAGTCCCCCCCGAGGGGAGGGTTCCTTTGAAAACGGAAGCAGCTCCTCCTTCGCCTAATTTGTTTGCCGGATCAAAATGATTTGTGGCCTTCTCAAGCAAATCGTACCTAAAACTGAAGCCAGCTACGAAGGCAAAATCAGGTAACGCACCACAACTGTCGCTTACTGAAGAGAGTAAGATTAGCACATTAGAACAGAGAAAAATACTACATAAAAAAAAAAAAATGTTAGCCCTATGGCTTCAAATGAGAAAGCATTACCTTTACTACGTGACGATATTCTTTGGCAGCATATAAATACAACAAGGACGATGAGTAAAATCCCTACGATCGCTGATAATACCCATGCAGCGATCATCCAGACATCAGGCCCTTCTGAAAAACAATGGAATATTGAAGGTAATAACACTCTTGTTTCATGTAATCAAACTTGTTACTACTCAAATTCCAGATCACTAGTTAAGATAAAATAAAAGCGTATCAATTGAAAGTTCTTAATGGTACTTTATTTTGTTTTGGGTGAACACAGAACATCTCTTGACCAGAAATAGAAGATCAATCTCTTAAATCACTAAGATTCAATTAGGGAATTAATCTCTTCCCACGAATGTTTCGCACATATACATGTATTCATATAATTGTTTGAAGAACATGAACATGTCCATCATCCTACTGTTTGCTAATACAAGTGTAATTCTCCACATTGAGTACATCCTCCTCGAACACACTATTAACCCTTTCAAGTACTATTATTTATCATAACATGACACACTTTACCTGAGTCACTCTGTCAGGAATATTTTCGATATAAAGACCACTCTTAATTCACACTTATTGAAAGACCTAACAAGAGATATCAGAGCCGAAGGCTGATCAGTCTTTGTATAGAAATTCTTCCTGAGAGAGTGGATCAGGGAAGCGTGTCCCATTATGATGAGTACTTACAAGGATCACTAGTGTGTTTGAGGGGATGTACCAATGTTAAGGGACTCACACATGAAAGGGAGATTGTTGGGTAATCCAAGTGTGAATTAAGTCTCACATTGAGTAAGAATGAGAAAGTTGAGCAACATATAAAGAAGTCTGACCCATAACCTAGTGCTTTAAGATTTTAGGTCAAGAATAATGTTAATCCTTATATAGTTTGGGTTCATGTCTCATTAGTGTTGTCTCTCCCCAGAAAATTCCCGTCAAAAGACCTAATAAGTGGTATCAAAATCAAAGGCTGATCGGCAGTTTAAGAGTGGTCTTTGTATTGAAACTCTTCCTACAAGAGTGGGTCAGGTAAGTGTGTCCCGTTTGGGTGAACGGCAGTACATGGAATGACCACTAGAGAGAGCTCGAGGGGATGTACCAATGTTCTTTGTATTGAAACTCTTCCTACAAGAGTGGGTCAGGTAAGTGTGTCCCGTTTGGGTGAACGGCGGTACATGAAATGACCACTATAGAGAGCTCAAGGGGATGTACCAATGTGTGAGATTCACACTAGGGAGATATTGTATGATAATCTAAGTTTAATTCTCCATAAGAATGAGAAAGTTGAACAATATATAAAAAAAAAATATTCATAACCAATGGTTATGTGTTAAAGTTTTTAGTTGAGAATGGTATCAATAGTTTTTAGTTTTTAGTTGAGAATGGTATCAATAGTTTTTAGTTTTTAGTTGAGAATGGTATGAATCCCTTATATTTATTGGTCTATCTCTCGTTGATGTGGTCTCGTTATGGGGAACGGTGCTACGTGGAAGTAAACTCGAAGGAATATACTAACGTGAAAAAATCGCACACTAATCGGAGATTCAAGTGTGATTTTAAGTTTGAAGTTAACTAAAAATAAGAAGTTAAACTATGACCCATGATCCAATCTAATCTTAATCCAGTTTGTCTTTAAGATTTTTGGCTGAGAATATTTTGGTTTAGAATAATGTGAATCTGCATTTACCTCATTGATGCTGTTTATGCCATGTGAATCCCCTCAAAAACACAATACATACACGGTTTCTAAAATAACTACTCGAACAGAAGTAGAAAATAAAAACCGTGTTCTGTTACCTTTAGAATCCTTGATGTTATCTTCTGCAGCATCGTTGTAGAATTTGCGCGTTGAATACCTCAAAATACAACCAGTGAATAGACTCCTACCCTCAACATTAGGCACACATTCCTGCACTTTCTTTGCCGCTTCACTCAAGCATATACGGCACCTCCCTTTATTCAGCGTCGCCCAGCACTGAGCCAGAGCGAAAACCCCCTCCTCTCCGTCCACCGCGAACCCGTGCTCCGCCGCCTCCTTCGTCACGTTGGACACCACCGCCGCCACCCGTCTGCCCCCATCATCCCCCAGAATCGGGGCCATGCAGATGCCGATGTCGCTAGTGGGGTCCACGCTCTCCCGGAAGAAGGAGTAGTTGTCGTAGCGGAGGAAGCAGCCGTAGAGGTGGATTCTGCCAGCTGTCTGGGGCACGCACCGCGACAGCACCTGCCTCGCTTGGCTGAAACACGTGTAGCAGTCCGTGGGCCTCAGGTCGCGCCGGCATTGGCTCAATGCGTACATCGGAGGCCCAGTACCCAGCAGCGTCTGCGCTCCCCACCCTCGATCTTTCACCTGAAACGACAACGTGTCCATTATGGCCATGAACTTAGATGCGCTTGATCCAGGGTGCTCAGAACCCCCGCACGTGAGACCCGTTTGGCGTATACCCGAACCGACGCAACCCGCACGCGGGATTAACAACGACGACGACGACATCAACATTAGCCATAGCCAGGTAATAAGGTTTTCAGGAACGTTCAAAAAGTGCACCATTTTTTTTTTCTTCTAATTAATGATTGTTCTGTTTCAAAGAACGAGACTTAAGCGAGTAATGATATGGTATTTGGCTTGGATGCCACGTTATGATTACTCCATTGATGGCTTGTGGACATGTGTTTGTCGTGGGGTTCCGCCGTGGAGGTAGATAGGGAGAGGGTATTCCCGATCGTGGTGCAGATAGTTTTCTTGATTAATTTCCTCAGAGGCATGATCCTTTTAGGTTTTTGTGATTTGCAGTGAGGTAGATAGATGATATAAGAGAGAAAAAACGATGTGCATGCGGAGATTCTGATAAACGAAAGGAGAAATGAACTGGCCTTGCGTTGGCTTGGGTTTTTAGTTTTTCCTTTTTTAGGGTTGCATGACGTAGAAAATAGAGCAGAAAACCATGTTCAACATGGTATTTGCTGGCTCTTTCTGTCTCCATATCTCAACTTATTAGGTACCCGTTTCATGTAACATCTTCAAGTAACTCCACCTCCGAAACTAGTCGTTACAGAAACCAATTAGCTACCCTTTTCATGATCAACTCTTATGTTATACTGTGGATGTATAATCCACCCTTTAAAAGTGCATCATGTGTAATATAAAGTAATTCTTGCATATTTTGCTTTAACGATTAATTTCATGAGAATTGAAAATGGCACACTGTCTAGACAATTTTTTTTTTTATCTGAAATTGGTATTTTGAATATACAATTATTAATATTGAAAATATTTTTTATTTTAAAATTTAGAATCTTATATAAAATTCATCCTGACATATTATCATCTTCCAATGAAAAAATAACCTAAATCTTAAATAGAAAATGTTTCATGGCACTCAAAATAATCATTTTTATTTAGAAATAAAAAATAGTAATAAAAGCAATGATATGATAAAGAAGAGATATCTAATATGGTTTTAGTAAAAATAGATAAATGTGGATCATTATTCATCATCATCTTAAATTTATTCTCACATTTGCATTAAGATATTTTTAATATGCAAAAGTATTTAATATGTGGGTACTGAACAGGCAAAAATTGTAAGACCATTCATACAATCAGCAATTTATGCATCTTTAAAAAAGTTCTACATAGATACTGGATCCTTGAAAAGAAATGTTTTAACAACTCATTTTTGTCTGTACTTCTTGAAAGCAGAGTGTGTCCAAGTAACATCCTTACTTTGATTTGATGGTAAAGAAATGAGGTATGCATCAGTAATGAAATTTGCGATGTGTATAAGATCAGTACTATAACTGAGTGTGAAAAGAAGTTCTCTCGTGTTAAATTTTGACGCATGTCAACATCACGCGACATATTTTTTCATGCATCGTAGAATGAATTAGATGCGGAAGGAACAACTATAGAACCGTTTAACAAACTTGAACTAGTAATTGTTTTTGGACGTAATGACACGTTCATAGCTATGCTGCTGGAATTATAAGTTAGCTAGATCCAATCAGCGCCAAGGTTCTCACTCGGATCAAGTCATCAAGGTAATAAGGCTTGCTGGGATCTTTGATGGATTCCAATTTGTGATAAATTTACTGTAATAAATTACTTAACTAGATGAAATGAAGATGATTCCTCCATCGACAGTAATTAAGAAAAGCTTGCCAGGGAAGGACAAAGCATAAGAAATTGCAAGATGGGGTTTATGATGTTCGAAGTTCAAAGTATATATTTCCCAGTAATGAAGATCGGCATCTTACATGCTCTCAAAAGATATTAAATTCAAATTTGCATGTAACAGTAGAAAGAGAAGATATGAGATCGTGGGATCATTTTTTTAGTAAACTTTTGAGATTTGTATATAAGATGCGACTAGAATATAACTCTTAAACTTCTTTTGTCTAGTGGTGGAACTGAGTCCCCTATCTACAAATTGAATAGATGAGCAATTCTCTACTAAATGATCACTGCCTAGAAATCAAGGAATATGAGGAAGAAAATGTAAACAAGCAATATGGCCAGATAACATAGCCAAAAACCTGCGTCCTGCTTTTTTGAAGAACGTTTGAGCAAGCCTTTCAACGGGGAATAGGAAATACAAATCAAAACTCACTCTCGTTCTCATTGTACGAACACTTTCTTCAGCAAAAAATGGCATTTACATATGGAACACATGACCCACTTCATAATGATAGTCTCACACAATATATCATACTTTTGAAATCTGGTTGGTCGTCATCCACACTAGCACATACGTCAATAGTCCTGTTCAGTTACATATAACCAAAAACAGATAAATTCCTCTCCCATGGTGAATGGTTCATTAAAAGGGAAAATAAGTGAAGCCAATTCCCTAAACTCCCGGGAAGCTAGTCTAATTGTTTTCACTTCATATCTTCATTTAAAATATTTACACAAAAACAGTAAAAAAATATTTCATATATATGCAAGATTGAGTTACTAAAATTTCCAAAAGATTAATTTTTTACATAACAAAGAGTCTTTGGTGTCAGTACCTGCTAATATTTTATCCTCTGTGTAGGTAGGCCTTGCTCCTGATGGTATGCCAACTGCAAAATTTACAGAAAGAGTATATCAACTGATAAACATAGAATATACGATTACAAATACCGTATCATGCCATGATTCTACATGATTAATTTTTTCCATATTTAGCTTGGCATGACAGCGATGCACAGTGATGCACATTAATGTCATATCTGTTAATAGACAAATTTAGGATACCGACTATAATGGTTAGCGTAATTATAGCCTAGAATGTTTCTGTATTTCATGTATATATTGTGCTATCATATTCAATACAAGACAAGGGTTTTTGGAAATATTTTTATCATGGTATCGAGAGCGAACCAAACTCGATATCCAATAGCCCGAGAACACGATCGTACTTCTAAAATGGCGAGAGAGGAGAGGCGGTGAAGAAAACACCATCGCCATACGATCCGAGTGCCGGTGATAATCCTGGAAATGTGATTACACGAGTACAATTACGAGGAGAGAATTACGAGGAATGGGCAAGGGCCGTGAAGATATCTCTGCGGGCTCGAAGGAAATGGGGTTTCATAGATGGAACTCATAAGGAACTCGAAGAAGACACATCCGAGATAGAAGATTGGTGGACAATTCAATCGATGCTTGTATCTTGGATACTAAACACTATAGAACCTAGTTTGCGTTCCATCTGTTGCATACATGGAAAACGCAAAGGACCTATGGGATGACATCAAGGAACGATTCTCGATCGTGAACGGACCAAGAATCCAGCGACTAAAGTCGAGTTGGCGGAATGCAAACAACAAGGAATGACTATGGTTTCCTATTATGGGAAGTTGAAAACGTTGTGGGATGAACTGGCAAATTACGAGCAAATCCCACGAGTGTAGATGTGGGGGATGCAAGTGTAATATTATGACGCAACTTGAGAAACGAAGAGAAGAAGAAAAAATTCATCGGTTCTTGATGGGGCTAGATGATGAGAGCTATGGAACTGCACGGTCAAATGTTTTGGCAACAGATCCATTACCCTCGTTGAATCGGGTGTATGACACCATGGTGCAAGAAGAAAGGGTGAGAACAATCACCGGGTCTAAAGAAGAGCGAGGAATGATCGTGGGAATGGCTATGCGAGCGGAAACCGGGAACAAGTTGCGCAATGAAGCGAAAGAAAAATCGAGTTGTTTGCATGCGGTGTGGAAGGAAGGGACATGACAAAGGCAATTGCTTCAAGATCATTGGTTACCCGGAATGGTGGGGAGAGAGACCACGAACCGATAGAAACGATGAAAAAAATTAACAAAGAACGAGAACCTTCCGAGGAAAAGGAGGAACGGCTCGCGTCAATATGGCGCACATCGGTGCGGATAACGTTGGTTCAACCGAAAAACCGAAGTCGCAGGATCGAGTAATGAGCAATGGCAGATCTTGACAACGAATGTTGAATTCTCGCAAGGCAAATGAAACTGAAAAGATGACTGGTAAGAAAGCATGTGACTTGTGGATTATTGATAGTGGCGCCTCTAATCATATGACAGGAACACTAGAAAACTTGAGGGAGAGTCGAGCCTTGGAAGGGTGCCCAGTGGGACTACCAAATGGTGAATTGGTGCTGGCAAACAAAGAAGGATCGGTTTTCCTTGATGGAGGACTCGAAACTTAAACATGTTCTATATGTTCCGAAATTGAATTGCAATTTGATTTCAGTATCACAATTGATCGAATGAAGTAAAATGTACAAGTACATTTTATCGATAGATTTTGTGCAATGCAGGACCACACTTCGAGGATGCCGATTGGAGCGGGTGAACGAAAAGAGGGACTCTATTGGTATCGTGGTGTGAGTGGCATAAAGGCGTATCGGACCAATGCAGAAAATCAACTAGAGATTTGGCACAAGCGAATGGGACATCCCGCCTACCAGATTGTTAGAAAAATTCCGCATCCGAACAGGCGTGAATAGAAATACGGATACAACTCATGTGTGTGAAGTGTGTGAGAGATCAAAGCAATGCAGAAACACATTTCCTTTAAGTGATTTTCAAGCATCCAATATATTTGATTTAATACATTGTGATTTATGGGGTCCATATAGAACTCCCTCGTCTTGTGGTGCATCTTACTTTCTCACTTTGGTTGATGACTGTTCTCGAGCTGTGTGGATATATCTCTTGAATAATAAGAAAGATGTGTCACAAACCTTAATGCATTTCATCGCCTTAATAGAACGACAATACGAGAAACAAGTCAAAATATTACGAAGTGACAATGGAACCGAGTTTATGTGTCTTCAACGATATTTTCAAGCAACATGGGATACTCCATCAAACCTCATGCACTCGGAACACCTCAGCAAAATGGGAGAGCCGAACGAAAACATCGACACATCCTAAATGTAGCTCGTGCTCTACGATTTCGGGAGAACTTCCACTTCAATTCTGGGGAGAATGCATTTTGACCGCAGGATACTTGATCAATCGTACACCCTCAACCGTTCTCCATGGAAAAACTCCATATGAAATATTGAATGGGAAGTCACCCACTTATGATCATCTACGGGTATTTGGATGCTTGTGTTATGCACATAACCAAGATAGGAAAGGTGACAAATTTGCAAGTAGAAGTCGCAAGAATGTATTTGTTGGATATTCAATCGAAAAAAGGGTCTGGAAATTGTTTGATTCGGAAAGAGAAGTCTTCTGGACTTCGAGAGATGTTAAGTTTGTAGAACATGAATTCCCGTTTGCCTCTCTTGCCCACAGTAGACATTCGGAGGTAGGATTGCCTACTGTTGATGTTGGCATTGTCGAGGAAGCATTGCCTGGACTTGGTGCAATGAACAATGCGGAACACGTTGTGGAGACCGATGATGTTAACCCCACAACGGAAGATGTGCCCACAACCGAGTTCGGGGAGGGCCACGCCGAATGCCATGAACAAGAGCCTCCCACCCGGATCGTTCTCCCACCGTAACAAACCGACTCTATGATGACGAACTAGAGGTTCCCGAGGAGCATACTGTCCCTGCATCCCCGGGGAAAGGTCTTCGTGTACGAAAGCCATCTCGTGAAGCTTCGTGATTATGTCACTAACACCACTTTACAACTCGGTCCCTCAATTCGCACTCCACATTCGAGCTTCCTCGTGTATGCCTTACAGTTTGACAAAGTACTTAAATTGTGCTAAATTCTCCTTCCCCCACCGAACCTTTCTTGCAGCCCTTCATGCGGAGAGAGAACCCGTGCATTTCTTTGAAGCTCGTTCGGGATGTTAAATGGAGAGATGCCATGGCTAGTGAAATTCAGTGCCCTCCAAAGTAATGAAACATGGGACATTACTCCTCTACCGAGCAGGGAAGAAGCCTCCGGGTTGCAAGTGGATTTATAAAATCAAATATCATTCCGATGGGAGCGTTGAACACTTCAAAGCCCGATTAGTTGTCTTGGGAAATCACCAAGTTGAGGGGATTGACTATGACGAGACCTTTGCCCAGTGGCAAAGATGGTCACCATTCTGGACGAGTGTTGGCAGTAGCAGTAGCCAAAGACCGGGAACTCCATCAAATGGATGTCCATAATGCTTTTCTCGCACGGCGATCTTGAGGAAGATGTGTACATGAAAATGCCGCCGGGGTTCTTGGTGTCTCAAAAGGGTATGGTGTGTCGTCTCCGCAAGTCCCTTTATGGTCTTCGTCAAGCTCCTCGGTGTTGGTTTGCCAAGCTCTCAACTCGCTCTTGTTCAATATGGGTTTCAACGTTCTTCGTCTGATCACTCCTTGTTCATCTTTCGCAAAGGAGATGTCGAACTGGTTGTGTTAGTTTACGTGGATGACCTAGTCATTGCCGGCAATCATCATGAAGACATTGCGCAATTCAAAGATTATCTTCATCAATGTTTTCGTATGAAGGACTTAGGGAAATTAAAATACTTTCTTGGGGTGGAGGTTGTCGGATCTCCTACAGGAATTTTCTTGTGTCAACGGAAGTATGCGTTGGACATCATAGCTGAAGCGGGATTGCTTGGAGGGAAACTCCGTGTCCACGCCAATCGAAGAAAATCATCGTTTAGCATTGGGCGATGGCGAACTACTTTCGACCCGAGTCAATATCGGCGTCTCGTCGGTCGCCTTATTTACTTGTGTTTTACACGACTCGAATTATCTTACAGTTGTTCATGTCCTATCTCAATTCATGCACCAACCGCGTCAGGAGCATTGGCGGGCTGCACTCCGCGTGGTACGCTATTTAAAGGGCAGCCGGGTCGAGGTGTGCTTTTAAAAAGAGAGAGTGACCTTCGTCTTTATGGTTGGTGTGACTCGGATCGGGCAAGTTGTCCTCTCACTCGAAGATCTCTCACCGGTTGGTTTATTTTCCTTGGTCAATCCCCCGTTTCCTGGAAAACCAAGAAGCAACATACGGTTTCTCGATCATCCGCCGAGGCGGAATATCGTTCTATGGCCAACACGACATGTGAGTTGAAATGGCTTCAAGGCCTTCTTTCGAGTCTAGGCATTACTCACACCGACCCTATGACTCTCTATCGTGACAACCAAGTCGCCCTTCACATTGCCAAGAATCCTGTGTTTCATGAACGGACAAAACATATTGAAGTGGATTGTCATCTTATTCGTGATGAAATACAACACAATCATATCCAACCCTCCTATGTGTCCACTCATCATCAACTGGCTGATCTCTTCACCAAATCTCTTGGCGCCACTAAATTTGGTTCTTTTTTAGGCAAGTTGGGCATTCATAACCTTCATACTCCATCTTGAGGGAGGGTGATAAACATAGAATATACGATTACAAATACCGTATCATGCCATGATTCTACATGATTAATTTTTTCCATATTTAGCTTGGCATGACAGCGATGCACAGTGATGCACATTAATGTCATATCTGTTAATAGACAAATTTAGGATACCGACTATAATTATAGCCTAGAATGTTTCTGTATTTCATGTATATATTGTGCTATCATATTCAATACAAGACAAGGGTTTTTGGAAATATTTTTATCCTCAACCTTGTTCATTGATAGCCAAATATCACAAAACATTTTTCCCAAAGAAATGATGATTAATTAGCAAAAAATCTTGATAAATCGAGGAACCTGAATCACAATTGGAGGTGGAATTGAAGTCGCCGCACATACACAACTGTCTAATCCCATCGGAACCATACCCACAGGTGCCACCAGTGGCCTCACACGCGCCACAGAACTCGTCGTTCCCCTGGACGGAGTACCTCACACGGATCCCATAGGACCAGCCCCCAGGTCCATCAACCTTAAGCGGAGCGACGCTATAAGCACTGCTATACCCTTCACACTCAAGCTTGGTGAGGTTAATGCCCCTAATAGCCTCATACGGAACGGCACAGCACTCAGGTGGGCCGGACCCAAAGAAGGAGGCGGAGCCCAATCTCTTGTGGCCCATCATCTCCCAGGCGGGGCAGGAGAGGTACTCCTCGCAGCCCATGCCGGAGACGTTGCGGCAGGGGAGGTGTTTTCCGGGGAAGCCCTGGAAGAGGGGGGAGCGAGGAGAGCAGGCGATGAGCATGAAGACGTTGTCGGCGGCGGGGTTCATGTAAGGAGCGCGCCAAGGTTCGAGGGCGAAGCCGTTGCCTCGGGATCCAAGGACGAGGTTGTGGCAGGTGGACATGTGAGGCTCGTGAAGCGTGAGGGCCTGGTAGGCGTAGTCGATTTCGAGGACCCTGTAGGAGCCGGAGCTGACGTGGAACATGAGAACGTCGTTGATGCAGAAAAGGAGGTCGCGGAAGCCAGGGTGGCCGCACCCGTATTGGAGTGCGAAGGGGTAGTCTATGGTTATGTTGGCGCAGTATGAACGGCATGTGTTGGGGTGGCACAAACTTAGAGGGATTAAATATGCTGCTGAGAGTATTATGTAGAGTGCAATGATGAATGAAGGCATGGTTGTGAAGGAGTTGAAGAAACTGGGAAATTTTGTGGTGAATACTGTCATGGTTTGTGAGGGAGTAGAGTAGTGAGTGCAATGATACCTTGCTTGGTTGCATACTTGATTACTATGGGAAGCTTTATTTTGGTGGTGAGGAATCTAGGTGAATTGTGCGGGGGGTTTTCCTTCACTTTATGTTGCAGCAGTAGGGACTACGGATTACTGTTGTTTTTATTTTAATGGACATTTTCCACGCTTTTTAATTTCTGCTTAGCTTTGGTTTGCTTTACCGAATTATAGATTGGTCGCTTTAGAATCCAGTATCTTTTATAAGGTTACTTATACAACAAACTACAGATATAGAAAAGGAGAAAAAATATGGGTGCTAAATTTATATATTTTATCAGATTATTTCATTTATTTTAGTTGAAATATGAAATAATATCATCAACACCATCCAGTAAACCGAGGGAAACTCTCACTTCGACTCACATGTGTCCCTTTCTACCTTGCTGATCAAAGAGTGAGTCTATTCACTTAATTTATGTTAACAAGTGAATCTACCTTAGTACGAGGTTCATTTCAAAATATATATGATATTAAATTTATTTATGATATTAAATTTATTTAGTTTTTTCTATATAGTTAGTTAATAGTTAGCTTGTTTTCATTTGATGGAATAATGTTCGAGCTTCAATATTACATTAGTTTGTTGAAAAATACAAATTTAATTGTTAGTAGTGTGAATATTATTCTTTTGACAGAGTGAGTCATGAGTCATATTTCGTATCAATGGTTGTCTTAAAAGATTATTAGTAATGAGAAAAAGAAAAAGAGAACATAAAAGCTGTTTTGATGGAAAAGAAATAAAGATTACTATAAATAATAATTGTTTAAAATTACTTAATTTTAAAAATTATTTTATTTGCTTAAATATTAAACTTATTGTTATTTATTTTATTATTAATATCATCAAATGATAATTTATTATCCGAATTTATTTAAATACAACATCATATTAAAATAAGTTTAAAAAGTATAAAGAAAAGTCATACAGTTCCAAATTCGTTCTTAAATATTAATGAAATGCTAAAAATATTTATATAAAAAGATAATCCGAATAGAAAAAATTATAAAAAAACATCGAAACACTCCCAACGTAAAATTTTGGACCAGTTTGAATTTTAAATAGCTAATACTTTTGGATATTTAATACTTTAATATTATTCCTCATAACAGTATAAAATGATTTTTGAACTAAAATTAAATTAACAATTTTAAGTATGTTTAATAAAAACAGAAAAAGAAAATAAAAGGAATAGTGGAGTGGTGCTCGCGGTGCAACCCAGTGTTTGTCTCAGAGGTAGTACCTAAAATTAAAGATTCCACGGCGGTGCAATCGTTCGTCGGATTCAACCACCGTCAAGTTCGTCGAAGATCGATTTCCCCTTCTCCTTTCCCCCTTTCGTTTTCGGATTTTATTTCGTTGCCTAATTTTTCGTCATTCAAACAGCTTATTCAACTTCCATTTCTATTCCGTTGATTTTCCAGCCCCTTCCGATCATGCAAGTCCCCGATAACGCCGAATCCACCGTTCCAAAAGTACGAAAATTCTCTATGTTAATCTTTTTCTTTAAATTTTTTTCTCGTTTTAATTTTAACTAAGAATTTAGTTGTGTTGTTTGCTGTGTGGGTGGATAGTAGTGTGCAACTTATTTGAATAATGAACCCAAGAATTTTTGCTTTATATGATAATGGCGCGACTTATAAATTTGGTAGCTGCGATTACTTGGTTCGTTTTGCACTCAATTGGCAGTTTACTAGAACAGGAAGAGAACTTGTATTCTTAAGCATCTCTATAAAACGATGATCAAGCCTGTACACTTATTAATAGTGACGAGTATAAGAATGATTAACTTAATAGAATTCCATTATCTATCAAAATAGCACAAAAGAATATATGTCTAATCTAGACTAGCAATTTTGGCATTGATAATCTTTTGCTTTTCCCAATTCTAGGTGGTTTTTAGTCTAACCTTAGAAGTGTAGTGAAGCATTATAAGTTTTGTCTCTGAAAAAAAAAAAAAAGGTATTATGATTTATGAATGCGGACTCATGTCAACCAAATATACCTATATTTCCGGAGGTAGAGAGTGGTGAATCTCATGACCAAGTTTCAAAATGTAACGCAAATTACTTTTAGAATTCTGTAGGTTTGATGCAGAGGCTTCTCAATCCTTATAACTCTTTGATAATTTAAGTTATGTAATGCTGGTTATCTAACTGTATCGACCTATTGAGTAAATTACTGAGTGTATCTCCAGAAATTTGTACCTATCATAGTTCATAATGTGTTGAACGTTTATATTATTAACCTTGCCCTACATTTAATGACAAAATTTTATGTTTTCCTTCTGGATTTTTAAAATGTTGCTGTCAAGTGTGTGCTGGACTTCACCAATTGCTATTCTAATACTTTCCTTAATCAGAATTCTCCAAGGCTAGCTGGAACAGTTAACTGGGGCACAGCAACTGTCATTGGAGTTTTTTCAGGCATGATATATGGTGGTAGCAAAGAGGCAGCTGCTTCTGTTGTAAGTTTATTAGTAAAAATATTCTTCAAAACCCTGCTGCATATAATATAGCATTTTCAAAGTGTGTTATGCTCAACTCAGCAAAGGTCATTAAAAGTAAAGATAAGGATAGAAGTGAAGATCATTTTCTTTAAATAATTAAATTACATATTCTGTAATTTGGTGAGTTTGATTTGGTTTTCTTACTGTTAGACATGACCATGATGAGTTCAGTATTTCATAGTTATTTATTTAAATTCTGGTTCCCAATAATTAATATTCTCAATTTCCTGTGAAAGTACACGGGTCTTGGGTGGAAGAAGAATGTACATTAAAGCAGAAGACTATAACCTCTCCATTACAAAATGCGTACAATTTGTTAAAACAATATTTTATATGGTCTATTCTATAACAGAAAGAAAGATAAGCAACAGACTTTTTGACTAATGCACAATCTTCATTAAGAATTTTCTAGAGTGGTAACATAAGAAGGTAGCTGCATACCCATTGCGTCGACACTATAAAGATGTAGAAAAGATTGCCATATTCCATAAACAGATGATCTGATAAAAAAAAAAAATCTTAATCATTGTATACTTTAAGACCCTTAACTATTGAGAAATGATTTGTTTTGATTTCGCAAGCTGTTATAATTGTTGGTTATAAACTGTTACATTGTATTTGGTTGTTTATTGTGTTGTCCTTTTTCTGTTTCCGCCCCTCCCCTTCTCATGTGCCTTCAGTTTGATGCTATTCTTTTTCTTAGAAGCGGATAATTAAGTCAGCACATTTTTCCAATCATATGTTTGTAAATCTTCTAATTATTCATGTCATCTAGTGTTTGGACAAGGTCAGCACACTTGGGTTATGTTATTGTTTAGATAAATTTTTCCATAGCCTTATAAGAAGAAAAGAAAATAAGAAGGAAAATGAAAATAAGTTTCCATAAGTGAAGACTAGCTTATAGAATCGTATATTTGTAAATTTCTAATTATTTGCGTGTTCTAGTGTGAATTTTCATTTGGGTTTAGTTCATAAGCACTTATAGAAGAAAGGTATTGGAAGGAAAAATTAAATGAGCTTCAATGTGCTAAAATTAGTTTATACAAAATCTAGTTTTTAAAAACTATTATATTTACTTCTCCAAAAATTAACTTTATTCATAAGTTAATTTTAACTTATGAAGGATACTTATTTTATTTTTCTTTATTTTCTTCTCCCATAATTTCTACGGAGTAGTGTATAAACAATGCCTAATTATATTTTTACTCTTTGCAAATAGAGCAATGTTCAATTTTAGACCTTGAAGAAATAAATTATCTTTTGGATCTCATTTATATAAATGTGTCATTAATGGTTCCTATCTCTCTAAACGAGGGACAACAAAGAGGTGATTTTATGTGAAGCACAAGGATCACACGTGACATATTTTCAGAAATAAAAGGCCAGAAGGTGACTATATTTTGAAGGGCCTGATCTCTTTATTTACAGGGATTAAAAATATATCTAAACCTTTTAACTATTTTGCTTGTATGAGCTGCACATTTTAGTTGTTTTCTCTGCACTGTGTTGTTGTTTAGATTAGGAATGGTAATGGATACAACTTTAAACACTAGCATTATTTCAAAACGTCTCTCCGAAGAAGACTGAACAAATACTATTATCCTGACTCTTGATGGAAAATAGAAACTGGTAGTGATTCTATATAGTTTAAGAGATATGATTAAAATGAAAATATATTAGTGGGCTCATTAGATCATCTACTATAGGAATGCTATCGGATACATTCAAATGTCCAGTCATGCAAACACTTGAGATGTCCAGTTCTTAGTTAGAGAGAGAGGTGTATATTGAAGATCCCCCAAATGGAGTTTGTTAGATATGGAAAGAATTTTCTTTGCAAGCATGTTGCTGACATTTATCTTTTTGTATAGCTTTTTTAGTCATTGCCAATTATGTTGTTGTAAACATTGCTTGTCTAGATTATCCCAATAAACTGTGGCAATCATAAGGAATTTCACATGTGTTGCTAGAGCAAGGATGCTGAAGTTATGTTGAAACTTGGGAGCACTGAAGACAAACGTGAGCAATATCGATTGATGAGAGATGCAATGGAGAAACGATTCATTCGAGTTACACGGGGCTCAATAGTTGGAGGGATACGCCTTGGAATGTTCACTGCTGCATTTTACAACATACAAAATCTGCTTGCAGAGCAGAGAGGTGTTCATGATGTTTTTAATGTTGTTGGAGCTGGATCAGCAACTGCTTCAGCTTTTGGCTTAATCTGTAAGAAATCATACACTTACTGTATATGATAAATTGTTACCTGGGCAGATCATGACAACATTTAACTGTTCTAGATTTTTATCTTATGTTCTATAGGTTGAAAACTTTTTATATAATGTAAAAAATGGTTAGACCACAAAATTAATGTGTTGATATATTGTATCCTGTTTTACTTTAGTGCCTGGAACACTCCGTTGGCGAGCAAGGAATATGGCTCTAGGGTCGGTGCTGGGAGCTGCATTTTGCTTTCCTCTTGGTAATATTGGTTGTTATTATTTGTTGAGTAGTTTTGTTAGTGAGTAAAGGAGAGGAAGCAAATTCCTCATTCAATTGGTTGAATGATATACCTTACTTATCTGAATTGTGGATATATGGCTATTTACTGAATTTTTTGTGCCAATTCTTTGGCAGGTTGGATCCATCTGAAGCTGGTACAAATGGCTAATGAAGCGAGTCAGGCAGCACATCCACCTTCAGGTCAGAGCGAAGTAAAGAGTGGGGTTAGTGCTGCAATTGAGAGGCTCGAAGGAAATTTAAGTAAATGAAATGCTTTTGTACGGTGAGACACCCTCACGCTCAGCACGCTCTATCATTTTTATTCTCAGAAAAGAGGGGTCATTTTTGCGTTAAGGGAGGTGCATGGTGTTCGTGCCCTTTTATTGGAAGAAGCGCTAATTCAATAATTTAGTTGAACGTGTTACACAAGATTTCACAAGATTATTGGGCCATGTGTTATTCAGCTATGATACTTTCGGTCTAGGTTAAAAATATTATGCATATTTATAAAGTGCTTTGGATTTCAATAATCCTAGTCGCTTTGAAACAAAAAAAAAATATAGTGGTGTAAAGCTGAGATAAAATGGAAAGAGCAGATTGGGCTACTTGTCCACTTAACCTATTATCTGCCTTACAAATATGAAAGGAAATACTGAATGTTTTAGAGTAATAATGGCCTCACGACCAGTAAGCCAGTCCAGCTAAGTGATTTCGGAGGACATCACAGAAGAAATAAGCGGAGAGTAAGAGTCAGTTTTGTATTCAGTTTGTGTTAAAACCTTCGTAAGAGCTCTGCTCTAAGGTGTTCTTATGACGCACACTGTCGTAAATAGCACTATTCAATTCCATCGTTTACACCGCAGAAGCCGATTGCTGTAGGTTTGAAGGCTGCCCAGGAGAGTTGTATGCTTCAAATCTGTGCAGGCATGTTGCTTTAACATATATTTTATTCATTTTATGAATAGTAATTATCTGTTTTCAAATTCCAGTGGGTTTCACCTGATGTTTTTGTTCATTATTTTTCTCTTATGGTGTATGTATACCATTTACAAGAATTTCAAAACCTGTTACCACCTAATATATCCCGATTTATGTCCTTCCGTGAGGAGTGTCACTTCTTTTACATCTTTCTTTAATTGGAAGACAGGCGAGTCTTTTAAATGCATTTTGCATTTGTTTGTAACTAAACATTATTCAAGAATCAATTCTCGAAACAAATTATGCTTCCCTTAAATGATCGTGTTATATATGTACAAAAAATAAACTAACTGTACACATTTTCAAAGGTTTTCTTCTGTACTGTTTGTTCGAGAATCGAAGCTTTAACCAACTGCCATTAGCAAGGTACGGACCAATTCAACATATAAAAGAATACAAAATATAGCACGAAATAAATAGCGGTGCCGCAAACGTGAAACAAGTAACACGGAAGGTAAATAAACAGTGACCTCCTATCAATGATTTGATATTTTAACCAAGAATTCCATAAACAAGGAAAACAGCCAACTATAAAGAGCATTCAAGATACTCTCATCTGCCACTGCGACACGGGTATGAATGGCCTCGCTAATTTATCATGGTTGACTCCAAAAAAGCTTCTTCCACGTCTATTTTACTCCTGTTTTGCCACGGGCTCCTTCTTGAACCTATTGTTAGTTGTGCAGGTTCTGTAAATAATCATATAACATTTCGTATTCTTCCTTAACCTGCAAAGATCCAGGCAGATTTAAGGTATGATGCTACCATGACTTTTGGAAAAATTCTTTGGACACTTTTGACTACTCATTTCACAGATGGAAGCCATCTCACCTTAATGTGTAGTCAACTAGTCATCCTATCCAAAGACTAAGATACAAGGAGAATTGTACCCAGACAAGGGTAGAGTCTATATCCAAGTACCACTGGTCTCAGTAAAACATTTTTCAGTCAGGCTTAATTTGGAAGTAATTGAGACTGCAATCTACAACCAGTTCAATTTATCCTGCTGAAGATATACTATGTTTACCTAAAATTTTAAAATTCTGCATAATTTGGTAGGAATTATGAAGGAAAAAGCAAAAAATCTCCACGCATAAGATATGTGTCTCTAACAAATCTTTATAAAAAGCCAGCCAAGATTAAAAAAAGGAAAGGCTACGAAAATAAGATAATCGCATTTCAGAATAGAACAGCCATTGCCATAGTTATGGTTTTGTTTTCTTTACGTAATGAAGTAACTAACAAGAAATTGACTATTTTGGCAAGAAATTAATAACATTTCTAAACCCAGTTCGAAAAAAGGATGTATAAAGAAATTACCATTAGCTTGGCTATGAATTGCACCTTCTTGTGCCTTCTTTTTTGTCTTTTTTACTGCCGCATCTGTAACCATAAAGTTTGTTAATTAATTATGAAAAGCATATGAAGATGTTATGTGCTGGTACATAAGAAAATGACAGGTAGCTTTCTTCCTAGAATAATCACACATAGGCGTGAAACTTTGCAAAAGGACAGGTAATAAGTATTGAACACCATAATCTCTATGTTGTCAAATGGCTGCACCAGGATGATACTTTTATCATTACATAACTATGATACCTTTAAATTTTCTTTTCTTGTTAGCTCTCCTTCTTTTCCTTTCTGCCTGTGTAAGCTCTACTTCTTCCTTAATATCACCCTTGCCGTCAAACACCTCCTCAGGAGCCAACATAGCAGCATCTGAAACAGCAACAGGAGCAATCTACCCAGGGAAGGCATAATACACTGTCAGTAACTAATAAATGTAAGAAATAGAAGCAAAAAATTTGACAAAAGAATAGATGTTCACTTCTTCCATTGCCAGAGCAGGCACATTAGCTTGAATAGACATGTCCTCAATAACCTGTCAATATCAATTCAAGGCAAATAAGAAAAAAGAAATTTCAAGTATATATGAATCAAGAAATAATAAGCACGTTAAGTGTCATACAGGTTTTGGAGCGAAGTTAAAATGGGAAAGGGCATCCAGCTTCAGACAGAGTCTCTTAAACAGCATGCTAGCCTGATCACAACACAAGTACAAGGTACAAGATTGAATATATAAAAATGATATATATATATATATATATATATATATATATATATATATATATATATATAAGGGTGGCAACTAAACCTGATACAATGAGCCAGCTTTGTATGATTCATGAGGAAGGGAAGCACATACGAAATGAGAAAGAGATTAAACAGCAAGATAAACGGAAAAAAGTAAAGCAACCAAGATTTGCACCTCATTCTTTTGTTCATCTTTGAATGACAATGGAGCAGAAGTGGGGTCTGTCTTCTGAACATATTCTTGCTGTCAACAATTAAAAAAATATTTAAGGTACATCACAAGTAAAGGATGAAATGTACAACAGGACAAATTAGTTGCAGAAAATATAGTTGCGATAACAGACCTCGTAAATTTCTGCAAGACCCTGCTTGCTTTTATTGTCATCCTGAATTCATAACATAAATGAAATTACTTGTACAAGTTAGCTACATACGGATAGAGTTAGACAAAATGTTGAGCCTTAAATCTATTTATTTCAGTAAAATAAGCCTTACCAACTCTTTAACTTCCCGAGGCGCTTTAGATGGCAATTTAGGCAGCCTTTGCACATCATTAAAAAATCCCTATAAAAAACACAAGTGTACATTAGAAATTACATAGTGTTAGTAAGCACAGATAGTCTCATGTATTACTTGGTAGTAATTCAATAATCAGCAAAGCAGACACAAGTTTTTAAAGAAATCGTACATGTTGCCATCTATATATTTGTTTCCACTCATGTAAATGACATGATGCATTATAATAGATGTCCAAACCATGTCAGTTCAGCATATTAAGTTACCTCAATAATCCTTTTCTTGATCATATCCTCAATTGAAGCTGTAACTTCCTCAGTAATTACAGGAGCAGGCCTCACATTGTGCTCAAAATCTAGATCAACTTCCAATGCACTATTCTTGGGTCTCTTTGCAGCAGTTACCTGTTATAAAATCATCAATCGATAATCAAATACATAAAAAAGGCCAGCAAATCCAACCCACTTAATAATCAGATGAAAAAATGAATTAAGAAACTCCTGTATTACCTCACCCTGCATAGTCCATGTTTTTGGCTCTATGTTAGCTTTCTCCATCTGCTGTATCTTGGATTGAATATTTTCCAGCTGCTTTTCATGGGCAGATACAGTTCCTGTCTTCTACATATGCGCAATAAAATGGAAAAATAAACTAAGAAAGCTGTTTACAAGATAAATAGCATATATACACAAGATAAATTCTCTGCCATCCTCATCTTCAGAATATTCAGATTCCTGAAGTACCTGAGCTTTTCTTTTTGAGCCCCTTTCCTTTTTACCACCAAAGAAGTCATCATACCTGACAGAAACAGATGAAAAAATGAACCCCACATACAGATATGGTAAAAAACATCTAAATTAGAAATACATTATACAAGGAGTAACATAATTAAAAAAAAAAGTATCAAGAGAATTGCATAGCATGAGTGGTGAGAAATGAACTTAGAACTTAATATTAAAGCAAATACACCAAACAAACCACAGAATAATTAATAAATCAAATAATTAAATAGTAGTAAAATAAACAGTGTAAAGCTCACAGAAAGAGGAAGATAGAGCACTTGGTCAAATACAGTTGGCCAGAGAAAACTATATAGGGAATCCAAAACTAAAAAGAATTACTATTAAAAAAATAGAAAATGTATTTTTCTTGTAGAAAAACTTAGGCATAAATGGCATGAAGTTAGATCACACCTTTTCCCTTCAGTTTCTTCAAGATGCAAATGGTTCCACTTTGAATTTTCATTACTCCTCATTTTAACTATTAGGCTATCATCCACCCAATCAACACTTTCTATTGGCGCCTCTATCAGTCTTCTTCCCACACTGACCAAATTAGCTGTGACGCTAGCATCTTCTACTCCATGGGTGTTACTCCTACATTGTCGCTAATATATTTGCTCCTTATCTAGTTTTGTATGTCTATCCTAACATCCTCATCTCCATAACTGCAACTAAGAGCAGACATAGGCCTACGCACCAACTCCTACAGGCATATGCCCCCTCAGTCACATATTAATTTTTAAATGATATATGCAATCTTTTATTAGTGTGTGTGTGTGTATATATATATATATCCCACTTATTTTTTTATACTGCTTGCTTAATATAGTTATGATAGAGGTCAAATTCTTTTGATGTTCCAGTTACTTAAAAAAAAATGATAACAACAATATAGAATCTTAACATTGAACTGAAATCAGACTTTCTCCATCATATTATTTCTTTCTTAATGTAAATATAATCATTTTACAAACAATTACTTATGTGTAATTGTTTGTGCACTTACCTTTTGATTGTTAGCTTGTGTTGACGCTCTGAAAATTCAGTAACATAAAGCATAGCTGGTCTTACGGCTATGCAGTAAAACCAATCACAAAAAACATCCAAAGCATTCCTCCATTTCAACTACCAAGCTTGGATCATATTCCTACTATTTACATTTCCCTCTATCTAATCATAACTTCGCATGTCAAGATACAGAAACTCTGTTACTTGTGGCATGGTATGCTTTCCAATTTTTACCTCCAAGCCAATGTTACATGCAACAATGTGCTTTATATATCAATGTATTATTCATTTTGTAGATTGATAAACAAGGGAATTGATGGGAGGAAAACGGTGTGCATATCTGGTCACGGCGTGAAAACAATGACAGCTAAAAAATAAAATAATATATATATATATATATATATATATATATATATTTAGTTAAATGGATGGTGGTGCGGCTTTGATGCAGGGAAGAACCGTGTCCTAAAAGTCAGGAAGAAAGGGATTAGACCTCGGCCTTCAATTAGGAATTTCATGTTTTAGGTAGGAAAGAGAGAAGAAAGCAGGATAGACAGGCTAGAGGGAAAGAGGAGAGAAACAGATAGATTAAAGAACTGTGCACCAAACTTCTCTAATTATCAGTCAGTCGGGCAACAGTCCTACCTTATAGGCAACTACACAACAGCCATACAATCCTAGCTATGAGAAGCTGACTAACTAACATTTTTTTCTTATTAAGATTTATATATCTGATGAATAGAAGAGAACACAACACAAATGACAAGGGCAATGGCGAGAGTCTTCACTTAGACTGGGAGTAATCAACGTTGGACGGATACAGATAAGACATTGCATATCATGTTGTCATGTGACAGGTGTTAAACATTAAAATGACAATTCTCTATGTACTATCATATGCCTAGACCACCTGGTTATAATCTTTTGATATTGTTAATCACATCTCCCCACAAAAGTTTTTACACAAGAACAAGATATACACTTGTGATATCTATAGATATTTGTGAAACATAGATCGTTAAGCAGAAGTGAAGCTTTTATTTGTGCAATTCATTGACCCATAACTGAAATTATGAATTAGTGATATGATGGATGCAGCCAATAACTTAAGTTGCTAGCTTATAATGGATGAAGATCCATTTTTTATTGTTTTCTAATGTGAGGACAAGAATAAACACCTTGCATTTTCCATGTCGTCTGCTTCATCATCTTCGTCACCAACCCCAAAATCATCATCCTAGATAAATATAATCAGAATGGATCAGAACCAAATAATCAATGAACCAAATAAAAATTTGACAACCATGAACCTTATCAATATGAATTTCACAGCCCAATTATAAGAAAAGGAAAACATTAAAAAGCAACATATATACCACAGCTTGTGACGTCACAGAAACCCTAACCGCAATACAATTTTTCGAATCTTAAAATTGGCATGAAAACTACCTAAACAACTGCCCCAGGCAAGATGGTTAACCTCATGATCATGTTTAAAAACCCCAAAAAGACAAAGGAAAACCAAACTAAGCAAATAGCACAGTCACCTCATCACTTTCCTCGTCATCGTCTTCCTCCTCGCCTTCTCTGGCTGCCTCACCATTCTCGAAATCCTCTTCCTCCTTATCTAAGTACTTCGCCAATTCATCTATTTTCAAGAATTTATCCTCAATTCCACCACCTTCTTCGTTCTCCTCGTCCTCTTGCTCTTTTTCTTCCTCTTCCTCTTCATCTTCATCTTCCTGTTCCATTCCTTCTTCTCCCTCCTTAGCTTCATCCTCGTCTGCTTCATCTTCATCATCCTCGTCCAACTCCTCGTCAAAATCGTCCCTATCTCCCTCCCACTCATCTTTACTCTTTGCTTCCACCTTGCTCCCGTTTGCCGAAGGAACCTTTAGCCGGGAAATCTCTTCAGGATTTTCGGCCAGCTGCTTCAAGCGGCGGCGAAGGGTGGACAACAGAGGTTGCGATTGGATGTCGATTTGTTGCCATATCTGTTCGGCGTCGAAACCATCCACGAGGAGTTGGTCCAATGGCGATTTAGGGCAAAATGGTTTGAGGGTAGAAAACAAGTATTGGGACGCCGTACGAGCAGCTTCGGACAGCTCCGGGTTCGGCGCGAGCCATCTCGGTGCATCCGTCGCTTTCAGCCGCCGTAGGGCTTCGAGGCCAGTGTCGCTCGCGGTCTCCATTGCTGTGTACACTTGTGGCTCTTTTCTGGGGTGTTAAAAGGGTTTGGGTTTAAGTTTAGGGTTTTAAAAAAAAAAAATTGGCAGAGATCTTAAGGTGCGTTTTGGTGGACCTAATAAATAAATTCAATTTATACACAATTTAAAAAATAAATAATTTTTAAGTATATTATTTTTATAACGTATAAAAAAGAAGTACAAGAGATATAAAAATAATTATATATCACATAGTATAATTGCAATCCACTTAAATTAGATAATTAATTATACACAATAATTACAAATTTAAAAAATTGTTCCCCTTAAACCATATAGAAAGTTATCTTTGACCAAATTTCATACATACTTTCTATATTTAATTTTTTAATTTTTAATTTGTATAGATATACTCCAAAATTTATATAAAAAAATATATATTAGTTTTTTAATTTATATGAAATATACATTATAATATAGATACAGATAGATAGATCTTAATTAAAATTTATTAACGCGATATTTATATCCTAACATCTTTATAAATCATAATATTTTTTTATGATAACCTAATTATTTTGTTCCTGTTTTACTAATATTATTCAGGTTTTTTATAAACTAGTGATAATATTTTTTATTTTAATTTATTTAATAATGTTAGCATACAGAATGTAAAAAAAATGTTTTTCATAAATAAAAATATATAAGATAAAACAACTAAATATAAACCATATGTAATATATGTTTATGATTAAACAATTCTAATTTTTTAAAATATTAAAATAAAATCTTTATTAGATTATTTATCTGAGTAAATATATTTATTATTCATCTCTCCTTATTTATATATTGTTTATTATTTATATAATGAACTAACAATTAAAACTATTCATCTGTCCATTAATTTTGAGAAGGATTGGATTTGTCATTCTTAATTTTAAATTTAATTAAAAAAATAATTTAATTTTAAAGTTAATTAAATAAATAATTTAATTTTAAAGTTAATTAATAAATAGTTGTAAATTTTTTATTATTAGAGTTTAAAGTATCTGTTTGTAATATTTTACTTAAAAGTGTAAATAAAATAATTTCTTTAAAACACTACAGGACGTTTATTTATTAAAAAAAGCATTATTGTTACATAAACATGTAAACATGGGTAAAAACGAGGTTCAACTATATTTATAGAGAAATTAAATTATTAAATATCATTAAAGTTGTAGATTAGAAAATAAATAGCATTAAAGAAAATTCTATTCTATCTTATGTTATCGTAAAGTTAATTATTTCAGTTTGCATAACGAAAAAAAGTCAATTATTTCATTCGTTCAGAGTTTTTAATAATTATTGCATAAAATTTGTGGGTCTCTACATTATTCAATTTTTTTAAAACAGAATGTTGGACGATATAATTAAGAAACACGCTACTTTTAATTAATTCTTATTATTGAATGAAATGAAATATATTACTCAAGTAAAAAAATAGCAGGAAAATGAGAAAGTTAACATAAAAAAAATTCTTATTTTAACAATCTAAACGTTAGAGTGGAATGTTTTTCTCCGAGTTCTGCTAAAATTTACACAAGTAAGGTAAACAAACCCAGGTCATGCATGTTATGAGTCTAAGGAGATCGTGTGAAGAAAAAAAAAAAATGCTTCTTTCGTTTTTCATTTAGCTTCTGACTTTATTTCCAATAATATTTGTTTTCATTGGTGCCACTTTAAATGATATACTTGCTCCAATTCAAAATTAATTAGAAATAACAATGGCAGAAACTCCATTTATGTTCTTTTACTTGTTCCCAGTGCAAATTCATCAATGAATCAATGCACTCAGATTACAGTTCTTACATAATGCCACCTTTTGACAAGTGTCCACACAAAGTAATGCCAAAACTTCCCTAACCATGAAATTTCAACCAAAAAAAGGAACTTATATACTTTGATTTTAAATATTTTTTTTTTTAACTCAACATTTGAACCCAAACTTCCGAAGATAACCCTTTTTTACTATTTTCTTACAGCCACTTCTCTTCCATTAAATTTATGTTCTTCTGAAAATTGCAGTCATCTGACACATAGGTACGTGTCAGGGTAGCGCGTTGACAACACACTGTGTTTCAGCTTCATTATCAAAGCGAATATGCCATAACACGGAATATGCAACAATGCCATCGAAAAGTAACTGCAAATCAATTACAAGACAGTGAGAAAGTGTCAGCAAAATATAATATGAAAATCATTCTTTTATTTTTCAATCTAGGATATTTTTTTTATTTTACTAGAAGGGATACAAATTTTCAAAATTACGGATTTTCAACACGTGACACACGAAAAAGAAATCATGTTATTGATTTATTTATTTTTTTAGTATTACATGATACAAACTTTAATATTTTTTTAAAATTATGGTATGTAATATGTCTTTTATTTCAATTTTTAATATTAATATTAAATTTGTATTACTTAAAATTATGTACCTATTTTTAATTTAATTAGAAAAAAATAAAAATACAATATTTTTTTATTTACCATATATTAATATTATAGAGTTATAATTAAAAAATACAAGTAAATTTTATTATATATTTTAGTATTTAATATTTTATGTGTCATCTAATTATATGCTATATTATAATTAAAGAATAAGAATAAAAAATATAAATAATAATATAATAATAAATATAAAATATATATTATAATATTATTACCATATCTATAGTTATGACTTTAATAAATAAAATTAAGATTTTTTAGTTTATTTATATTTGGTCATTTTATCTCGTTGAATATGTATAACAATAGTTAATTTTTTACATCACATATTGGATTTGGATATGAAATAAATTTGGAACAAGTACTACAGGATTAATCACGGGATAAAATTTATACTCGTAAACTTTGAAAATCATGTTTAACGAATATACTGTATAAATATATATACCAGTATATAAAGGGTATCAGGAACACACAATAATAATGAACAAGATAATAGAAGAAATTGAAACTTTTTACAAAATAATAAAAGAGTTTTACCAAGTTATTTTTCGATTGGATTAAATTTCATTAGAAGAATAAATACAAATATGTGATTTAGACAAAAAATATGAATATATGACTACTAAATTTGCAAAGTATATGAATTCTATTTAAAAAAAAATTAGTCTTATCAAAATGTGTCTTGATCAAAACCATGTTTTAAAATAAAATCATAATTAGTTAAACGTAGCATGAAAGCAAAATCATGTTAAGAGGAAGACATGGGTATTGAAAATATTGTCTTGCTTAGAGAACACTGATAACATGCCAACATGTGGCATGTCAAAAAATATAATAGAGAAAATTATGATAGTCTGAAATCTAATAATTGTTAAACTCTCATGATGATAAACACAAAGATATATTATTAGATTAAATGATTAATAATGTGATTATAAAGACTTTTACTATATGAAATTATCTTATTCACACGTTATTGTTATTTTTTTAAACATATTATTCGTATATTAATACATAAGTTGATACAATATATTAATTATGAGCATCAATTTGATTGAGTATGAAATGAAGGCTACATACATTGATCCAAGTTTTATTTTGGACCCAATAATACATACCGAACCATTAGAAATACTTCCCACACATTCACAAGAAAATAGATCAATTAAATCCAAATAAACCAAACAAAATGTTCATTTTATCACATCAATTTGTAAATATTTCTCTTTTAATAAACTATTATTATTATTATTATTATTATTATTATTATTATTATTATTATTATTATTATTATTATTATTATTATTATTATTTCATTCTTCATATTTTATTCATTTTTATTTCAATTAAACTATAACACATAAGATATTAAATGACAAAATATATAATAATTTTTAATTATAATTTTTATTATAAATTTATAATCTTATATTATTTAAAATTATATTTTAAATTACTTTATAATTAAATTAAAATATCACATGACTTTATTATTAATATGAAAAAGAAAAAAAATCTTTAAAATCATGCTAGATGACATATTTCTTTAAAAATAAATAAATAAAATGTGTTATATAACATAATTAAAAAAAAACTAAACATTGTCTCATGTAACTCGTTTTTTTAATAAAAAAAATAACAATAATTGTATTTTGTAATTTAACTTTTTTAATACGAAGTTGTACTATCAAGCAAAAATTGTTTAAATTGTTTTTTTTTTTTAATTTTACCTATTTTTAAAAAAAAATTACCCCTGATAAAAAACCCACGACAATCAGATTTAGATATATATAAACACTAGAAACATCCACAAAATAAGGAGAAGAAAAAATAATTTATACCATAGTGGAGCATACGGGGAGGACAAATCAAGAAATGGATATGGCCACCTGTTTTTTTTCCAGAAAAAGACATATAATTAGGCAATGATGTGTAAGATGTTTCTGTAGTGACTGAGTGGAAACATTATAATGAGGGCTTTTACCAGAGTTTAACTATAGCATGAACAATCCACTGGAAAATCACGTACGTAGTTGTCCACATGCAAAAGTATCCTATTCGAAACCAAGGGAACCTCTGGAGAGAATAAAGTAAAGGGTAAGGATTTGAATATGCACATGAAATGGAAGTGGACAATAAACTAGAATCAAATTTAGAACCTCACCAAGGAATTTAAAGCCGTATCGCCTAGTAGAAAAACAGCATTGATGGTGTGCATACTGATTATTAGCTGCCACATGACAATTTGACTTATCATTTAGCTCTGATGTCTCATCTTTTTAGGTAAGAATACAACTATCTATGTGTGCTTTTGTTATAAATTGACAAATCTAATCTATTGAGTCATACATGGTGCTTACCAAATTTATGTTGTAATCTTTGATTGTTAGAAAGGGGACAATTATGAACCAAAACACACAATCTGTGAACATTACAGCACCTGCAATCATCTGTGAAAAAAGATCGATTTAAGTAGCCAATGGCAAAAGCTGTGTTATCCCCCACTTACATAAAATATATGTCATCTCATTTATCATTCACTTGGTGTTAGGTTGAAAATGTTAATAAAGGGCAAAAAAAGATGAAGATCTACTAAAAGTTGAGTTCATCACTTATCTAAACCAATGATGTAGGCTAAGTTTACCTGGAATATTATTTGAAAGATATATCCCCAGGTGCCCGCAGGTTGGCGAACAAGATGTTCTTGTGAAGCTGCCAAGCCTTTGTCACTGTTGGATGGATTAGAACTCTGTGGGGGTGTAGGAGCATCACAGATTCCTTGCTCTGCATCTGCATCTACATTTCCAACCTTGTCACCACCGGCTTTTTTAAGATTCTGGTAACATCCATGCATGGAGAGCAAAGATCCCAACTAAAACATCAAACATACAATGTCAGCGTATAGCGAGATTACGCACTAGATAATAGACATGAACCAACACAAAAATTATATATTAGGCTCTTCATAGAAGTATTTACCCCAAAGTAAATGGTGACTGCAGCAAAAGTCCACCTGTTTCATACCAACAAAAAGCAAAAGAAGGAAAAATCATTAATCAAAACCCAAAAGAGAAATCCCTTATAGCTTAATCGATACAGTAAGGTGAAATAGGCTTTTGTTATAAACCGTAGCAGCTTCAATTGAAAGATTTATTCGGGTAATAACACTTGTTATCTTAGTCACGCAGAATCCGATGATATAAAGGGAATTTTATAAGCCTCGTCAATTCCATAAGAAGAGGAATGATTGCACTGCTACCAAAATCTCTTCATCTAGCAAACAAAATTACCAGCTTCGTTTTGATTGAGATTAATTAACTCGGTCTAAAGTTTAATTAGCTTTCAAATTTGTGGTCCAGCCACAGACTTCTGTTTTTCTGTTCCATACCAACAACTTAGGATGATGCTTAAAGTAGAAAAAAAAATTAATACGAATAAGTTCATTTTAATTTACGAGTTTGATTCATTTCTATGTTATATTGTTCCCGTAATTGTTTGCTGAGAAGTTCATAGAAACCGGTAGTTATACATATGCAGAGAGACCCTATGCATAGAATGTGCATTAATCCATTTCGACAAAATTCTAACTTTATATGAAGAAATTCAAAAGGGAAAATGAAAACTCACTGAGTGTAAAAGTAGAAAATGCATCCTCCGTCCGCAGTAGCAGTGAGTATGAGAAGCACCATAAGCACAACAAATGCAAAAACTCTAAACCCCAGTAACCAGACAGGGTGGATTCCTTTCAAACAAGGCCTCCAAATTTCATCCTCAAACAAAGTCGACGATGTTTCTTTCTGATCTTCCTTGTCATCATTTCTTGTTTTCTTCCGTGAAACTTCATACTTCAATATGATCAATGAAGAAAAGATAGCTGAAAGCAGAACCCAAATGACACAAACCAAGACCCTCCAATTCAACCAGTAACTTCGTGTGGTTGTATCGGCAGTCATGATGGGTTGCCACGTGCCCTTTGGAGAGCCTGTAAAGAACCTCATTTCTTTACTTCAGATTCTTACAACAGGTAAGTGTAGATGAAGATGGTGTTGTTATGCTTCCCCTAAGGAAAATGTCGCCAATGCTATTGAAGAAAAAAAAAAAGGAATGTAACGAAGGCCTTAAGAAAATAAAAAGCTATTAAACTAAACCACATAGAACTGAACCATTGGAATGGGAAGGACCATTCTTATTCTCTGTGATCAGAAGTGGGGCCTAATGAGAAAGTGCACAAGATATTGGTTTTTCATGCATTTCAAACTAGGAACAGCAGCAAAAGTTTTGGGCCAGGGAAAACTAAAAGGTTGAAGTCTCTTGACCCATTTTTAACAACATTAAATAATCGTTTAATTATCAGATAAGGTGGAAGTTCCAAACTTTGGATGGATTTTGCACAAAAAGCTACAACCGACAATGTTAATTGAATGTTGATCAGTCTATAAAGGAAAAAAGAGGCAGCTAAGAACTGTAAGCAAAAGAAAAGGTTGAATTGAAACTTGCAAGGGAAAGCAAAACAATGTGGAGGAGCGAGAAGAGATGCTTTGCTTCTTTGCTTCTTTGCTTTTGTGTATAGAAAACTATTAAAGGGATGTAGACTGCAGAGAGAGAGACAGAGAATGAAAAGAAAAGAATGGTGATGTGTGTGTGTGCTTGAAGCACAAGCTTCTTCGATCGCTTTTATTCCTATCTAACCAAAATCTGGTTGCAGCCTTGACTTCCATATTCCCATGCAAAATTTAAACTATTGATGATGACCCAAGAGACATGCATGTTTCTGTGAACCCTTCTTGGGTTAATAATCTTATTATATTTCTTTTTTTAATGCAGAGAGAGACAGAGAAAAGGGACCAGAGACAGGGTACACTGGCATTTGGATTTTGTATTGGAATGCTTGGAGCTAAGATTCTTCATGTATTCCAAGAACAGTTTTGCCTCGCAATAGTCATGGCTTGTTCGAAAAGAAATAAAGTGATGGCCACCAGAGAAAGGAATTACACGGTAAAAACAAAAAGTAACATATATTTTTCATTTTTCAAAATCTAATTTCTCTAAGAAATTAATATGTTTCTATATTCTACATTTTTAAAGTAGTTTTAGTTCCTATATTTATTAAATTGAAGTTAAGAATATGCTTTTAAAAAATGAAAATAAAGAGAGTTAAAAATGGAATATCTCAAATGTGAGATAGATTTTCATAATTATTTAAATGAAACTTTTACATGTTTTCTATGGAATATAGGTCGGATGATGGTTCGGTTTGTTACAAATGACACGAGACATGATTAGTATGATCGAAAAGGAGAATGTTTTATTAGGTCCACATTGTTAGGAACACATTGGCAATCAATCATCAAAGACTGGTTTGGGGAACAAATTAGATTGTTGGCCGATGGTGATGCATGAAGAACTGAAGATTGAAGGAAAACAGCCACCGTTTCTTGACATGTGTTTCCAATTAAATAAGTTTGAACAATAAGTGTATAATTTTTTATAATAATAAAGAAAGAAAGAAAATGAGAAAAAAATATAAACTAAAATAAATGATGTATAAATGCTAAAAGATAACTTAGGGTGCTTTTTTAGGACATTGTGTGGGGCCCACGGTGGAGCAGGCATGACTGTGACTAAAAATGGGGGTTCTGACGCTTGACACAGCTGGAAGGTGGAATTTTTTTTGGTAGAGGTTTGGTTTTGAAGTGCCAAACACGCTTCTGCTATGCATACATTGGTGTCACCCTTGTTCTGTAGCCACCAAAATTTGCATGTAATTAAAAATAAGCTTACATCCATAATCAATATGCGTCATCAAAAGATAGCAACAATTAGATTTTATGGCTTCTTTCAAATTCAATCTTCTTGTGTAATCCATATATAATTATAAAAAAAAAAATTTCACAATACCAAATGAAAAAAAAAAAGTACTTTTGTAAAATTTCAAGACAACCTTACAAGTTACTATATTTTTTACTTTATTTTTCTTGAAATAATCTTTCTTTTACATTTATTTTTATTTTCCACTTATCTACCTTTCTCTCTATTTTCTTTGTAAGACATAAGAATAAAGATGAGAGAGCATTGAAGTTGCCTACATTATACATGTGGAAACACCTCTGTGATAATAATATGAATAAAAGGAGAGAGAAATAAAAGTTTTGAATAAAAAAAAAACTTTTGCATATGTAATTTTTATTTTATTTTATTTTAAACAATGTAAAAAATAAAATTTAATATTTTTTTCGTTTCATTTTTTCAACGAACTAAACATAATCTTTTATTTTTTTCATCAATAGACAAATTTAATCAAATCCAACCCAATTAGATTTCAAGATTATGTTTGATTTACTTTTAACAGATACAATTATAATTGAGTTGAATATTAAGTTAATTTCCTATGTATTATATTAATAAGAAACAAGTAGCATTGTTTGAAAAATATATAATGCCATTTGACACGTTATTTTATGATAATCTTGATTTCGACGATTGCGTTTACATTTTTGAGTAATTCATTATTTTCTATTTTTGAAACAAGTATTTCATTGTTTTTTTTTTAAATTATAGAATATATTATTATTTTAGTCCATCGATCTAATTATCTAACCTGTTTAAGGTTGAGTTAAAATAAATTATTTAAAATTAGACTAAATCTAACCGACACCAAAATGTCTCTCCCCCATTCGAACACAACATTTAATTCAAACATTTTTGTAGTACCTACCTATCAATTATATTAGTTACAGTGAGGGAAGTGAAATATATTTTGATTGCACTATGGAATTTAAAAGAGAGAGTTTACAATTTTTTTAAAGTCTTAAAATACTGAACCATAAGCTACATTTAAATATAATTTAGGGTTTAAGTAATCAACAATACTAAATTATAAATAATTCTTAGAAATTTTTTCCATATATATATTTTTTTAGTGAATAATTCTTCAAATTTCGAGTTCGAATGAAAATAATTAAATATTTTATACTAACCAAGCATAAAAATTAATTAAATACATTTTGTGTTTAGTTATTGCATTAGAAACTTTGCTGTAACCGACACAAAAATAGTGTAAGGTAGTTTATTTTTATTTTTTTTGCCTTTCCCCATAATCTTATATATATAGCCCTAAAATGGTAATGTTATAAAATTAGAGTTACATTGGTTAGGTTGAAAAATGCAAATTAGGTCAACATTAATAGAAAGTTTAACTAAGTTGAACCTTTTTTTTTTTTTTCTAAATTACATAATTCGAGCAGTGTTGTGATAAAGTTGTTGTGTCTCAGACAAGCTCACTATAAATTTACCTACTAAACTCATGTAACAACAAAGGTCTCTTGTCTTAGTTAAAGGAAATGGTTCAAATATAAAGTTAAGGTAAAAACTCATTTCTTAATTTTTCATTTCTATTGATGCTACTGCAAGGCAAGGTTCCCTCTCTCTCTTCTCTCTTTTTGTTTTTTCACTGTTGCTTTACACTCAAGAAAAAAAAAAAGACAAAAAAAAAAGACAAAATGCTACGCAAACTTGATATGGATCCAAGCCTAATCTTTCCAGCCGACAAATTGATATCTTATGGCCGAAATAGAGAACAGATTGATCAAGCCTGTTTTACATGTTCATACAATTATCCTATAGACTTTTTTTCCCTGGTCCATATCCCTGTAGTGGGAGTTGGCACATTAAACAAGCAGCACAAGAACCTTACAACTGTTTATTGTTTTTTCTTCATTATTTCAGCAAAGAATGTACTTTCTCCCCTTTTTTCCAACAATCAACAATGTTTAACAAAATTCATGGTTTACTGTAATTCTTGTTTTTTATGTCGAAGTATAGTTTTCTGCGTATTTCATTTCATCCCATTAAAATTGCTTGTTTAACATTAGGAAAGAAGAAAACCAAATTCAGCAAAAAAATACTATGAATAATAGGGTCACATTGTGTCAGCTTCTGAGTTTTGGGAATTGGTTTTTGCATCATCAGTTTTACAAAATCTACCATTTAAGAATATCTTTGACTTCACAATTGTTTCCAGAAATTTAAATTCCTATAGTCGATAAAAGTTTAGTATCCCGAATTAAATTCAAAAGTTAATTTGTTTATTCGGACATTAAATTTATGAAAATCTATTTAGAAATTCTGTTATTAGTTTCTGTAGTACTGATTGCTCTCCAGTTTTCTGCACAGAATTCAATAAAATACAAATGTACGCTGATCGTTTATTCGTAACGATCGAATATTTTACACTTAGAAACCCAAATAGCCTGCTTTAATACCTTGGAATGGCTATGAGAATGATAACAATTTACATGTTGCAGAAGGTGATGGCTGCAGTTCAATTTCAAATATTACAACCATCATCATCTCCAATAAGAGAGAGAGAAAACGGGGCAATGGCCACATTGAATGATCGTGAGCCTACTCTTTCAACATGGATCATTTCATAGTCACCTTCCTGCATTATGACACAAAACCCTGGTTTTATGTGGCATATGATGGAGACGCATCTGATCTGAAAATCCTTGAAAGAAGAAATACATCTCGAATAAAACAAGAAAATGCAACCAATGAATCTAAATCATGATACCAACTCATTCTGTAGTAATATTAAAAGTATTCTTTGAAATATTGAAAAAATAAGATGTATCATGAACTAATCACCTCACTGAAGCATGTCAAACTTGGGCTTCCAATAAGGCGTATACTTTTGCTTTATTTCATAGGGTAAGATATGTTGATTATTTATGCAAATAAAGACAGGTGCTCGGATTAAAACTGTTGGAATGAGATTTTATTATCATAGAAGATAAGATATTTTTTATTTTTTTTAATTTAGATAAATATGATTGAGATATAATTAATATTTAATATTTTATCATATTTTTACTCTATATACAAATAGAAGACATAAATAAAAAATATATATTTTCATATATAAAAATACAGGTACATAAAACTTTAACATATCCCATAATAAACGTGGCAGCTTTGCATCCTCTCAAACTTAATCTCATGTATGTTTCTAGATAAGATCTTTTTTAGAATTATATAAAATTTAATTACACTTTTAATCTCTTGAAATTGTAATTATAGTTTTAATCGCACAAATTTTATAATTGTGTATTTTGATCTTTCTGTCAGTTTTTCGCTGAATATTTAATAAATTTTGCTGATGGACACTACATGAGAACATGTTAATTGACTTGTTGTCAAGCTTTGACAAATAGTAGTAACGTGTAGTTTGAATTGAGACACGTTATCCAGTCTTAATTATTCTTTTGATCTTTCAGGAATTCTAATCAGGAACTATTAGAGAAACAAAAACACATTACTATGTGCTAGTAACACACCAAATACCAGTTATCATTTAGTTTAACATCTAAAATGTCTGTTAAATATTTAATAAAAGATCAACGCCGGAAAGACCAAAATCGTAGGATTGCACTAGTAAAAAAAACTAATTTAGGCCATCTGGATCAAACCTATAATTAAATTATTGTATTTGATTGCATAACACCTAAAGCATTGAAATATCTTATGTTTCTATTTGATAATTGATGGAAAGTAATATATTACCAATTACCAAACATCATCAACAATATTTTAACTTAAGGTATCACCTTACTCAAATAAATTCTGATTATCCCAGGAAATTGCGACAACAAAAATAAATCTTACCATTCTACCATTTGGTGTGCTCAGTGGGCATGCTGAAGAGTATTCAAAACTATTCCCAGGAAGAATCAACGGCTGTTCACCAACAACTCCAATTCCCCTGTCATGAGGAAAATAAAGTACAGAAGTTATGTTAAATTTAAATTTCCTTGAGTTTAAAACAACAAAGTTCTTTTTTAAAAGTAAATTGAAAAACACTTTGGAAGGATAAAAACATAGCAAAAGAGAAGAATGATTAACTCACCAAACATTTTCCGTTTTCCCATTAGCATCAGTTATTATCCAATGCCTTCTAAGAAGTTGAACAGGGTGGTCTGAGTTATTAGTAATTCTTATTCTATATGCAAAGAAGTATAACCCCTTTGAAGGCTGACTTCTGCCCTCAATATATACACTCCTAACTTGAACCCTGATTCCCTGAATAAGTTGCAGTTAAATGTTAAGATTCCGATAAATTTTTGTGTAAGTAGGCGGTATCTCATGAAAGCATTTGTATTTTTTTCCTAGAAGACTTCGAAGGAAAATAAATAGAGTTTTTTACTGATCATTGCTAACCAAATTAGAAGACAAATGGTTCTTCCACATTAGAAAAGCCATCACAACAACAATAATAGCCTTAGTAAAAGGTCCGATAAAAACCTAGTGTTTTATTTTATTACAAAGAATACAGATCATATTCTCCATTAACAGCGCTGTAGATCCTCCTGAGTCTGCACCTTGTGTTCAAACGTCCTAATTTCCTGTCAAATGATAAGATAAATCTCTCTCACTCAATTTTTTTTTTATATTTATTTATAGGAAAGTTGCCTTTCTGACTAACTCTCTCACTAACAGACATCTAACAAGGGTATTCGGACACTTAGGGAAAAATCATCAAAGACAAATTATTCCAAGGGAGATACTCAACATTTCCATTTCTGAAGACATGGTGTCGAACTAATTATTCTATCAGTGGAATCAACTTAAAAGACTGTTTAAAGAGGGAAGTTGCTTTACTGGTTAAACGTATTTCTAATTTACATCAAGAACAAAGAACTATCAAGGACATGAAAGTATTTAACTGAAATTAGGGATCATACCAATGTTGTAGCATCACTGCAACATTTTAAAAGAGAGTGTGGGGCAATTTTGTTTAGTTCATCACGATAACTAGCAGCATCCTGGAAAGAGAGAGGAAAAAATGTCCAAATGTAAAACTAATAACGGAATCATACCTCAGAACAAATACACATAAAAAAATACAAGTCACGTTGTCAATTCGAGAAAAAATATGTGGGGAAAGCGGATCTGATAGAGAATTAGAACGAAAAATGAATGAAGGAAGAGGTGTAAAAGTTGAGATGCATACATATTACGCCATTTAATGGTTGATTGTTGAATTTAATTTGGGTGATAGACGTAACAACATTCCAACAATTTTTGAAACCAACTGGAAAAGAATACTTTCACGTGATTTTTACTATGATTACGATATTCTTTTTCAAAACACAAGCTAAATTTTACAATATTCATTTTGATACATCTAACGAAATAAGTTTTTCTGGTATTAAATCAATTAACAAAATATTTTGAAATAGTGTTCCAAATTAAATCAAGCCAAAAGACAACATAAACTCAAATTTGAAAGTTAAAAGAGGATCAAAATGTTTTTTTAAAAGCTAAATGAGCAGTCAAATATTCACAATTTAGATAAAGGATTTAAGTAAATTCTTGAGTGAATGGGGAATTAACCTAACTTTTGAACTAACCCAAATTGAATTCTTACACTCGAAATGCTCTAATAATTTCACATGGGAGTGAGTCCAAATTATTTGGTGAGACTGACATGAAATTTACCTAATAATAATAGAAAGAGTATCAGCACAAATCAAGATGGATCCCACAAAAAATTAAAAAAACAAGTTAGACACCTGGAATCTCTCTTCAGCAATTGCTTCCTTCAATAGTCTCCTTAGACGCAACACAGGCTCCTCGTCCTCGAACAACTTCAACGAATCTCGAATTCTAGCTGCTTCCTTGTAATCCTGAAGAAAAGAAGCAAAAAACGATGCTTCTCTCCGATTTCAAAAACAAGACACCAACTAAACTAAACTAACCTCAGATTTAGCAGCTACTTGCAACTGTTGCTTAAGAAGAGCGTAAGTTTGGGTCCGAGAGAGAAAGGAGCTGGTGCTACTACCACTGTCTCCCTCCGAAGCACACGCTACGATAACACTTCTTCTTCTCACTCTCGCCTCCGAACCCAGCAACAGAAAATTCGCTGAACTACTACTCCTCAGATTCATACTTAACGATAGCGATTGCATTTTTCGATCGAAGTTATTGCTTCTGATTCTTCTGCAAATCAATCCTATTACTATTATTGTTACTCTCCCTCTACCGCGCAATCACCTTTTCCTCGGCTAAAGTTAAAATAAAATGTAAATCTCCAAATTAGCCTTTGTTTATTTATTTATTTATTATAAGCAAAGTTTCTTTTTTATTATTATTTTGGGTACATTTTTTTTCTGATAAATTCAGTTAAGGATTAAATATACACAATTATTAGTACTTCAAACAATGTTTACACAAATCCTTAAAAAATTACATTAATAGTCTATTGTAAAATGAGATATGTATATTGGATATATTAATTTTTATTTTTTATTTAATTTTTATAATCTTTTCTCAAATATCTAATATTGACAAGAAGAAAGTGAGAGAATAAATTATTTATTGATTAGATTGTGTTTGTATAAGAAATTTGTGTTTATTAATAAAATAAAACTGACTGTTTTATTTTTTGGATGATTGATTTATGTAAACCTTTTCCAAAATTAAATAAAACAATTATATTTTAAGACTAATTTAGGAAAATAAAAGAAAAAATATTAAATTCAAGCCCTTCAGTTAATTTAAATTTACGTCCATAATAAACTAGTCCTTGAGATGAGTTTGAGGGTAATTTTGGAAACTGAACCCTGTTGAAAAATATTACTGCTCCAAAGTTATTATGAATGTAGCGGAGATTCAGAAACATGAAGAGTCTGAACCCCTATCCAATTTTGTTGTGAATGGACAAGAAAAATACACGTGTTGGGAATAGGTTAGCATGAGATGTTTTGTTGATGAGATTCCACGAACGGGGGAATAAATTAGATGCGTGTTTGTTATTCTCGAATTTCAAACGTGGCGCAACGTGAGACCCAACTTGCTTTAAGCCTTTATGCCACAGAATAAATTTATGGGAAAACATAAATAAAAAATATTTAGAATAAAAGAAGCAAAATCAAGAGAAAGAAAAAATTAAATAAAAATTTATAATTGATTATATTAATTAAATAATTTACTAGATTATCTAAATATTCTTACTTCAAATTATATAAGAATAATTTATAACTTAAAAATAATATATGGTTAAATATAAATGATTTTTTAATTTTAAATATTATTTATAAAAATAAATTTATTTAAACAACTAATTAGAAACTATGTATTAATTTTTTGTTTCACATACTAATTAATAAAAATTAAAGTATAATAGAAAAAATTAAAGTCACATGTATGAAAATAAATAATTTATTAATTTGTAGTGTGAGATCAGTATATTTAAATAAATTCTGATTTAAAAAAAAACATTAGAATGTTGTTAGGTTAAAACATTTAAAAAAAATGAATTCAACTTTAAAAATCTGTATATATGATCTCAACTTTACACACACACACACACACACACACATATATATATATATATATATATATATATATATATATATATATATATATATATATATATATATATATAAGTTGTCATACAAAATTCTTTTAATTAAAATTTATAAAACATGAATTTTAGGATATAAATTAGTGCAAAAATAGTGTCTAATATTATATGTTAGAAGATAATTAATGATTTAACAACACAATCAAATATTGTTGTTTCACTCCCATGATCCACTTTCAATATTTTTGAGACATTTCTGTCTCAACATTCCCACTATCCACTTTCAGCATTGTTCAAACATTATTGTCTCCCTCTTCCCCCAATCAACTTTTAACCTTGTTGATACATTATTGTCTTTTTCAACTGTCGCAACAACTGTAACGCAAGGGTGAATTTGAATTTTACATATAAAAACACATTTATTTATCTTGTTTTCTTATTTACTCGGTAAATTAGGTATATGAATATAAACAATTTATATAAGTTACTTTTTATCTTAAAAAATTTAAAATATAAATTTATGACGTTATATTATTCTTAAATAATTTATAATTAGGTTTATTCAAATACTTTTTTAATAAAATTTTAAAAATTTATTCTTTGTGTTATTCTCTCTTATATCAAAGATATTAATATTATTTTATATATATTTTCTTTCCCTTTTTTAACATGACTGTGATTGGTTGGATTAACCTTTCCTCGCACATCCTACCGCCCCAAAGAAGGAAAATAAAGATTTTCCTTTTATGTTATTAGATGTGTGAAATTAGTAGAAAAACGTTTTTCATGACAACGTTAGATATGTAAAGATAAGAGGAATTGAAGAAGTTAGGTATTATTGAATAAAGTTAAATAAATAAAAGAAAAAAAGTGTAGAAAGTAAAATTCAAAAGTGTGATTAGTGTACCCAAATATATAAATAGAGTTTGGGTAACAATTTGATTTTGGGCTTTCGGCCATTTAGTGAAAATAAAGATTCATATTTTATTTTCATATTGTTTTTTTATGAATGTTTTACAAGTATTTTAAGTAATAATTTTTTTATATATATATATAAATCATTGTTTTTAATTAATAATAAATAAAATGTATTTATAGAGCTTGTTAGAGAAAAAAAGTATTTTATGGACATCTATTTTAAAAAATCGTTTGGGACTTCATTCAAAATATCAAAATCCAAAGAATCTGAACCTCTCTATGTATAATATTCTGGATTTAGTGTTTACGCACACAAAAAATATTAAATTAATGTTTTTGCATGTAAAATGTTAATAATTTGGTTATTAATATGTAAGAAGCAAATAAAAGACGTGTACGATGATCAAATTATTATGTTATATGCAGAAAAATAAAATTAAAATCATGTTAAAAATATTAGTAATATTTTGCATTTACGATAATCAATTTAATAAGTTTAATGTGCTACTGGTGTAACGATATTTTAGAGTTAGTTTGGATTATTTTGATCTAACCCAAAATTTTATCAGAACTAGAAGCGATCAATACTCAAAATTTAATGGATGGTTGAATTGAACATAGAAAACTTATTATCAATACATAAATATTTGCAGTTAAAGCTGCCTAATTTGGTGGGAAATTGTATCAACATAAAAGGATTACCTCCTCTTCCCCATTAGCAAGGAAAGTGGGCATAGAAAAGTCATGCTTTATTTCTCATTCCCTATCTTCCTGCAAACTTCCAAACCAAATAAAGAAAAGTTAATATATATTTCCATGGCATGAGTGTGATGAGTCAATGTGCACATAGAGAAATCTTCTCTCCTAAAAGGCAAGAGAGATTGATTAGGAATATGTTGCGGACCAAATTTGACACGTTTCTCCTAACAATGAGAGAGAAAGAGAAAGACAGTAATAATAATAGTAATAATAATAATAATAATAATAATAATAATAAAACTAGTGCTACCATTACACAGATGGTCCATCGTCCTTAGAATGGAATATCCCACATTTGAATCCAGATTCATGAAGCAGTCATTGTTCTTCATTATTGGTAATGTTCAGTATTCATTTATTATTTATTAGTATTAATGTGCAGCTTTAAAACTTGCTCCATCACGTCACGGTCAACCATTGCGTTGAAGCGAAGAAAGAACGGAACCCAGGCTCGTGTCAAGAGTTCGTTGCGATCTTGGAAATGCAGACCACACTTCTCTCTCCTTCCGCTTCCCTCTTCCTCCGCAAACATAACACTCTTCTTCTTCCTTCCACTTCCAAACTCAACCACATTCTCACTTCCTCTTCCTTCCCATGCCAACAACCATTTTCTCTTTCTTCTTCTTCCTTTCTTTCTTTCAAACTCGCTCCTTCTAGCCTCTTTCTCCATGCCAGACCAACCTCCGTGCCGGAGAGTAGCGCCGGCGAGTTCTCCGCCGGCAACTCGCTGCTCAACACTCTTGAACTGGGCGCTCTCTTTGGGTTCTGGATCCTCTTCAATATCTACTTCAACATCTACAACAAACAGGTCTTGAAGGTTTATCATTTCCCTTTAACCGTTAGTACGATTCAGTTTGCTATGGGGGCTCTCCTCGTAGCGTTCATGTGGGGTTTTAATCTCTTCAAGAGGCCTAAACTCAGTGGCACCCAGGTTTGTTAATGTTTTGGTTACTGTTTGCTCTGTTTTTGTTCTGTGTATTTTTGTGCTTTATCTGTGATTGATTGCAGCTTGCAGCGATATTGCCACTGGCTCTGGTCCATACGTTGGGGAACGTATTTACTAACATGAGTCTTGGAAAGGTTGCTGTGTCTTTTACTCACACAATAAAAGCTATGGAGCCTTTTTTTTCAGTGCTCCTTTCTGCTATGTTCCTTGGAGAGGTTAGAACTTAGAGCACCATACTTTTTGTTCCATATATTTGCTTCTTCTAAATAAAACTGATGATCCGATTGGTTCATGGTTATATTTTTTTACTCACTTATGTATGGCAACCATTTTCCTCTCAGAAAACTGCGAATTTGTTTTGGTGCCTTAATCCGTTTGTTGACATTTGTTTTTCTACAGAATCCTACTGCATGGGTGGTTGGTTCCCTTGTGCCTATTGTTGGTGGTGTAGCGCTAGCATCTGCTACCGAGGCCTCTTTCAACTGGTAACCCCTGCCATGCATATCTTATTCCATAATAGTTACAAAATGAAAAGGAAATGGTGGAACCAATCTCTAATTAACACCAACAAAGGGAAAGAAAGAGAAATATAGGGATAAGAGGTGATACATGCAATAGATAAAAAGAAGACATAAATCATAGATGGTGGTAGAGTGTATGATATGTGAAATCTTATAGAATTTTCTCAATAAACATGTTGTGTTTAATGTTCCCGGTTTTCTTTAAAGGATATCTTTTAATAATAATGGGAAAAGTAACGAATTGCATTCCTGTACCCGTACCTGGTAACCATGATTCCATCGAAGGGTAACAGAAGGGAGGAAATGCAGCCATATGAAAGGACGATGTGGTCATGTGATCTGATAAATGGAATTTTCTTCATTGGGATGTTTAACAGGGCTGGATTTTTGAGTGCAATGGCTTCCAATTTGACAAATCAGTCTCGTAATGTTCTTAGCAAAAAGCTCATGGTTAACAAGGAGGTAATATGATCTGCGAACACGTCTCAAAGTTTTGGCGTTTGCTATATTGTCGATAGTTATTTTTTGTAGTGTATTAGTAGACCTTTTATCTCACGCGTACATTATATTTCATCTTTTTGAACAAGCAGAAAATAACAGTCATTTTGTTCTTCTTAGGAATCTATGGACAACATAACGCTCTTCTCAATAATAACGGTTATGTCCTTCTTGATATCAGCTCCTGCAACTTTGTTAATGGAGGGTGTCAAATTTACCCCTACTTACCTGCAATCTGCTGTGAGTGTTTTAAATTCTTGATGGTTGAAATTGATAGGATTTCTGTTAACATTCTCACAATCGAAATATATTATGTTGTTGAGCCTGCTAATCGATCATCATGTCATTTTTCTTGACAGGGATTAAATGTTAACGAAGTGTACATCAGATCTCTTCTTGCTGCACTATGTTTCCATGCATATCAGCAAGTAAGTTTTCCTCCTCTATGCAAAATTCCCCCCTTTTATTCAAAACTGTTGCTACTTGCATTTCTTCAATATTTCATCTCCTGACCATTAAATTTTATAAGCAAATGTTTAAATACCCCCCTTTTTGATATGAAATAATTTTTTTAATTAGGCTTTAGCTCTTGGTTGTATGTGCATGCAAACTTTATTTCTATTGGCCATTTTTGGGCATGCTTTAAATTCATTTTGAAGTTCAGAGACAATATGACTACTATGCTGTGAGATATTTATATGCTTGTATATTTACACAATTTTCTGTGTTCCAGAAGGGTATTTGTGTGCCAGAAGCTGCTTTTTGTTTAGTATATTTACACGTTCTGTTGAGAAAAAAAGAGATAAGATGAGACAAGATGATTGATGTAATGGGAAATGACAAATTGTAGAATGTGTATATAAATAATTTAACTTCTTTGTATGTTTTGTTTTCTGACAATCTTATGCAGAGCATGTGAATGTTGGAAGAGAAATTCAATTCATACAAAACTTTTGTATAATATTTTTCACAACTAAGCAAATGAAACAAAAAAATGTTATAAAAGCTTGTAAAAACTGCTAGTAAAAATTGTATAATTCATGCTATACTTAGCTAGTTGCATTCATTGTTGAAAATAACTTTAGATTAGGACTGCAGCATGTCCACTTTTAATATGCTTCTGACCATTTTCATGGAATTAGAAACACTTCTTAGCTAGGTTCTGTTAGGATCAGAGTACCAGCATAAATACACACAACTAAAATAGAGACGAGAAAAATAACCCTGACAATAGGCAAAAATGAAAATTTTATAATGACCACTCTTTCCTTTTACAATTGGAAATTACCAATACTAGGAAAGTAAAAGAGAAAGAAGGAGAAATATTTGGGATGTATGAAATAAGGGGGGAGGGGCTCCTTTTATAAGAAGGAGGAGAGCCCCCAATTGAAGTTCCCACGGATGTGGGACTTCTTCCTTCACAATCTCCCACTTGAAGATTTTGATGAAATTAATCAAATCTTCACACTATGTCTTCTTCTCTCACATCCATGTTGCTTATGCTTCAGATAGGCCATAGAGGGATCGACTCCATATAAACTTGTCGGCATTAACCGGTTTTGTCATTACATCACGCTAGGTTCTTTTCGGTGTGGATCTTACGTAAGTCTACACTTCCTTCTTCTACTACTTCTCGAACAAAATGATATCTTATTCCTATGTGTTTTGTCCTCGAATGAAAGGTTGGATTCCTTGCAATGTGTAAGGCACTTTGACTATCACGAGTACACAACAATTTGTTGTTGCTTGTGACCAAGTTCCCCCATTATTCTTTTAATCCGAGATAGCTTCTTTACATGCTTGGGTGACGACCATGTATTCAGCTTCCGTAGTAGACGAGCTACCACATCTTGTAACTTGGATAACCAACTTACTGCCCCTCCATTGATGGTAAACACATAACCGGTAGTAGACTTCCTTTTATCCGGATCACCTGCAAAATCCGAATCTACATAACCTCCGACAACCGCTTCGATCCTCCATAACATAATGCAACATTTGAGGTTCCTTTTATATACCTAAGGACCCTCTTCACATTTTGCCAATGTTCTCCACCGGGATTCCCCATGAATCTACTAACCACTCCCACTTGCTTGTGCAATGTCCAGGTCTTGTACAAATCATGGCATACATAAGACTTCCCACTGCCGATGCATACGGTACTCGAGACATTTCGATCCTCTCCGCTTCACTGCTAGGACTCATACTTGAGGATAACTTACGGTTGACGGGAAGTGGGGTAGAAATTGGCTTGCAATCTTGCATGTTGAAGCGCCGCAAGATCTTAAGTAAATAATTCTTTTGAGAAAGCCAAATCTTCCTATCTTTTACGTCTCGGTGAATTTGCATCCCTAAAATCTTGTTTGCTGGTCCCAAGTCCTTCATATCAAACTCCCTAGCCAATTGTGCCTTCAATTCTTGGATTCGAGCTTTGTTAGGGCCTACCACCAACATGTCATCCACATACAACGACAATATGATAAAATCATTTTCTTCAAACCTATTGTGGTAAGTACAATGGTCCGAACTTAGTCCGTAGTATCCGAGGCTAATAATGAAGGAATCAAATCTCTTATACCAACACCTTGGCGCTCGCTTTAGGCCAGTATAGAGATTTGTTCAACTCCGCAAACCAAGTTTTCTTGCTCTTTGAAGCCTTACGGTTGGAGCATATATATTTCCTCTTCAAGTTCTCCATGAAGAAAAGCGGTTTTACATCCAATTGCTCAAGATGTAAATCAAATGCGACACACATCGCCAGGACAATTCGATTGTTGTCAATCTAACAAGCTGGTGAGAATATCTCGTTGAAATCAATGCCTTCTTTACGAGCATATCCTTTTACCACCGGTCTAGCACGATATCTTTCTACTTGATCATTGACATCTCTCTTGATCTTATAGACCCATTTGCAACCAATGGCTCTGCGACCTTTTGGAAGTTCCACAAGATGCCATGTCTTGTTTTTATGAAGAGCTTCAATTTCTTCTTCCATAGCGACCATCCATAGAGGAGCTTCGAACCACTCACGGCCTCTTGAAAAGTTGAAGGTTCTCCTTCTTCACTTAGGAGACAATACGCATCATGACTTGTCATCACATATTGTGAATGCCAAGATGGTCCGACTCTTTCTCTTGTTGATCGTCGGAGTTCTCCTTCTTCCACCTCATTTGGCTCATGTTCTTCATGCTCCTCCTCCGACTCGGATGAATGTTCAGAAATCTTCTTCTCTATCTCGTACTATAGTCTTGTCCTTTTCAGATCTGTCATTTATCCGCTTGCTTTGCAGTTCATTTTCTGCAAAGACGACATCTCTGCTAACAATAACTTTGTGGGCGGTGAGATCCCACAAGCGATACCCCTTCACATTGTCGGCATATCCCAAGAAGATGCATTTCCTGGATTTTGGATCCAACTTCGTCCTTTCTTGGGTGTTGTACATCACGTACGCGGGACAACCAAACACATGTAAGGAAGAATAATCGGTTGATTTTCCACTCCACATTTCCATAGGAGTTTTCAACCCAATTCTTGTTGATGGAGACCGATTTATCAAGTAACGAGCGGTATTCACGGCTTCGCCCGGAAAGACTTTGTTATGCATGCGGTTTGCGGCATAGCTACGGTTCTCTCTAGAAGAGTTCTATTCATCCGCTCTGCTACACCATTCTGCGAGGCGTGTGTGGAACGAGAAAATTGTCTCACAATTACTTCTTGCTTGCGGAATGCTAGAAAATCTCCATCTACATATTCTCCTCCATTGTCCGTCCTCAAACACTTGATTCTCCTTCAGGTCTCAAGTTCTACTTGTGCTTTGAAGTCTTTGAACCGCGCAAATACTTCGGACTTCTTCTTGATAGGGTATACCCATAATCTCCTCGAGTAGTCATCGATGAACGACACAAAATATTTTGCTCCTCCGAGAGATAATTCGGTGATTCCCGGACATCGGAATGGATCAAGTCCAAAGTTTGCTTACTCCTTGTGGTGGTTCTTGCAAACTTCAACTCGTGTTGTTTGCTTGTCACACAATGCTCACGGAAGGGTAAATCGACCTTCTTGAGCCCGGGTATGAGATCACGTTCCGCAAGAATCTGCAGACCTCGCTCCGACATATGTCCAAGTCTACGGTGCCACGTTATCGCCGCTTCTTCTTGGCTTGTCGACGCGGTTGTTGCATGATTTTCTTGCAAGGTGTCTCCCATAAGCACATACAAGTTTGCCATGATTTTCTCTGCTTTCATGACAACTATGTTTCCCCTCACTACCTTTAAGATTCCTCCTTCAACATGGATCTTGCAGCTGAGGTCATCCAATTGCCCTATAGACAATATATTTTTCTTCAAGTCCTTCACATGTCGTACTTCTTGGATTGTGCGAATAGTACTAGTCATACATTTTTAATTTGACGAGTACCAACTCCAAGCAATCTCCAATGCATGGTCATTTCCCATGAACACGGATCCACCTGAGATAGGCTTGTAGGTTTGAAACCAATCTCGGTGTGGGGTCATATGCCAAGTTGCACCTGAATCCATTATCCACTTGTCATGAAATTCGTTTCCGCCATTAGAGCGATTCTGCTTCGCTTACCGGAATTACTCCTTCCTCCGAAGTACTCGCAATGCAACCTTGTGAGGTTGATTCTTCATTCTTCCTCTTCCAACACTCTTTCTTCGTGTGCCCTTTCTTGCCACGAGTAGTAGCATTTAAATTTGAAAGTCTTCTTGTTTCGAGAGCTAGATCTGCCATGATCTTGACTCCCACTTGAACCACGTTCCGCTGATCTTCCTCTCATCATCGTCAAAACTTACGCTTGTTTAGAACTTTCTACCTTATTCATTCGCCTGGATTCTTCTTCTAGAATAGCTCCAGGCAACATCATCAAAGTGTAGTTGTCCTTCAATATTATTATTTGTAATGTTGATGATGAGTTGATCATACGAGTCCGGCAAGCTACGAAGTAAGAGCTCCGCACGCTCATTCTCAACTATGTTGAAATTTCTGCTTGCTAATTGGGCAAACAAGGTGTTCGGTTGGTTGATGTGGTCCAGTCACCGATGTGGACTCACTCATCCGAAGAGTATAGAGTTTCCTCTTCGGGAATATCCTTGTGTGAAGTGACTTCACCTCATATAATTTAATGAGGGCATCCCAAATCTCCTTTGCGAGAATCTTTCTCCGCAACACTTGGATAGAGCTGAGTCTCGCCATTGCCAAGTGTAAATTTGCAATAGCGTTGCCGTCAATTTTCTTCCAATCTTTATCCAGTCATTTCTGCAGGTTTTCCCTCGATTGCTTCTGCGCAATTGTCCTTTCTCAAGATTGCCTTCATCTTCAATTTCCACAACGAGAAATTGTTCCAGTTGAACTTCTCTATCTCGTACTTTGCTTTGCCATGGTTGTGTTTCCACTTATGCAACTTTCACTTATGAATAGTATTGTCTACTTGGAACAATAGTAGTAGACCAGTGAACCGAGTACACCAAGTAGGTTCCCGGGAAAGAGAGGTGGGTCACTAATGGACACGCTTAAGTACCAAGTCTTTCCTAGCCAGAACTTTCCTCAATAGTACTTTCACACTACCACACCTTTTCCAGTAACAACTCCTTTCTGATGTGGAAGATCAGATTAAACTGCAACCACAGAGCATACTCAGAATTTTACCAACACTATTCTAGTGACGCGCAACGGAACTCGAACGCAGCTCTGATACCACTGTTAGGATCAGAGTACCAGCATAAATACACACAACTAAAATAGAGACGAGAAAAATAACCCTGACAATAGGCAAAAATGAAAATTTTATAATGACCACTCTTTCCTTTTACAATTGGAAATTACCAATACTAGGAAAGTAAAAGAGAAAGAAGGAGAAATATTTAGGATGTATGAAATAAGGGGGGAGGGGCTCCTTTTATAAGAAGGAGGAGAGCCCCCAATTGAAGTTCCCACGGATGTGGGACTTCTTCCTTCACAGGTTCATCTTGAGATCATCATAAGAAAGGAAAGTAAAGGTATGAGTATGAATAAGAACTTACTCGTTGTCACTAACTAATTAGAGCTTTGAAAGAAGTTATCTGAACCCATATTATATATTCTGCGTGGTTCTTTTCTATGATAGTTTTTTTTTTGTATTATAATGTAGGGATAATTTCTGTGAATGCATTGTGCAGGTTTCTTATATGATACTGCAGAAGGTATCACCTGTTACCCACTCTGTAGGAAATTGTGTGAAAAGGGTTGTGGTCATTGTGAGCTCTGTCATCTTCTTCCGAACTCCTGTATCACCAATTAACGCACTTGGTAAAATTGTTATTTTCTGGTTCCAACTAGAATAATTTGAAAGTGTTTTATAGTTTTTGAACCATATTCCTACATATCTCACGCTGAGTTTTTATGTGCTTTTCCTCTGCAGGGACTGCTATAGCTCTTGCCGGTGTTTTCCTGTATTCCAGGGTGACGCGACTTAAGCCAAAGACAATTTAATTTTCAGTCGTAAAATTTTGCCAGTTGCATGACAAACCTGGTAGTTACATTTCTGAATTTTTCTAAGTAGGCATTGAGGGTTCTTATTACTTTTTCTATATCAGTTCGGTGCCCGATTTTATTGTGGCGCCTAATGGTTCCTCCATCAGAAAATTTTATCTAAGTTTAGATTTTAATAAAGTTTCACATTTTTTTATACACTGTAATTTGCAGTTTACATGCATGTATATGAAAATATTATTGTTAGAAATAAAAGGAATGTGCCTGTCTTTTGCCAAAGGACAAATATCATGGAACAAAGAATCATTAGAATTAGGAAATGTGCAAATTAAGTAATTGTCTCACATGATATTTTTATTATCTTAAAAAAGGTTTAGTTAATTATATGTGGAACAGCTAGTGAAGGAATTTCTTAAACATGAATCTCAATCTATTGTCTTAAATTTCACCCTTTCTCTTCCAAAAAATATTTTTCAAAACACTTTCCTCAGAGATAAGGTGATCATAGACATTAAATATTTTACAGAATCAAGACATATTGCTCCCACACTTCTTTGTTTCTCAAGTAAAATAATGAACAAATTGTTAATAATGGTTTTTCGTATATGACATATGGAAAATGCTAATTAATACGATATATGTAAAAACAAAAAAATTAGTGTAGATGTAGCTGAAATAATCTTAATCAATTAATCACGTGTTGAATAGTAAATATAACTCTGATATTTTGGGAATTAGATCTCTCTTATGTGATTTTTAATTCCATTTAACGCTGTTTATTACTGAGAATGATCCTTTACCATTAATTGTCTTTGTTGCAACGTCTAAACTTTAAATTAAATAGAAGTTGCTAACTCTGGTCAGTTACTCCACAAGACATTTCAGGTAAGACTACTTTATACACAAATATCATTAACTAACTGCATTTCGAGTGACCTATAGATTTATTTCCCCAAGAAGATTCACTAATAAAATGTTCATTTCTATATTTGAATTAGTCTATTTAGCATTAAAATAAGTTTCAATTAAAACATTCTAGAATTTTTTTTTCTTTAAAAAATCCTGAAATAGAATAAAATATAAGGATTCACATAGTCTTTAACATTAAACTAATAAAAGAGTGGTAAAGGTAATAGTAGCATGCACTTATTCAACAGTCAATTATGCATTGACCCAAAATCATGTCACGTTAAATTAGTTCGGAACATTCTCAATAATCATAGTGCTTAATGAAACTCTAGGAGTCTATCTTGTAGGGGGGGTCTTAATAGTTGTTTAGTGTAGCTGCGTTTTTTGGGGACTTGTCCCTCCTCAAACCTAAAAACGGGAACATCTTGAAATGTTTTTGGACATTTAATGGATGGGACATTATCCCTACAAGAGAAACAATGGCACGTACTAGATCTAAATGCACTAAATGTAGTCAAATTATTAAGTAAAGGAAAAAAGAATGTAGTCAAAATATGAATGTTAATGTGACTAGAATTCATGGATTAATTGCATACTACTGCATAACATAAGTCACAAAGAAGGTTTGACTATAATAATGGTTAACCATGCAAACAAAGTAACCGCGATAATATTATTATACTTGAACTGTAACATATGATCAAGTATCTAGATGTGAAACAATCTTGGCCATTTGATGTTCATATCAATTACCATGCAATTAATGCAGTATCAATGGCTCTCTCCTATTAAGGAACACAAACGGAGATGGCTTGAAACGCAGATATTACCCTCAGTTTCTGTTACTCCTCTCATGGACATTGAAACAAACCTCACAGAAAACTATGACTCTCAGCCAATCCAGGTGCAAGAAAACTACTTGAAACCCATGGGGGATCAGCTTCCTTTTGGAGCTCCTTCCCCACAGGGTTTCTTGCAAGATTTTCATCATAGTGATGAGTTTCCTGTGAATAATGGCTCCTCATCTAATCCCATTTTCGGGCTACAAACTCCAAATTTTGATCCCTTTGATCATAATATTGTAAACTGTGAATCTGCACCTCCTGATTTTGAAGATTTTGAGTGCAAGCCTTTTGCTGAGAGTAATGGTAGTGCACGTGCTCATCCGATGGACAATTTCCAGTATGTAGGTTATAGTTTAAACCTCCCTCGGACGAATCAACTAGATATGGTGGTGACCAACCAAAGATATCTGCCCTTAACTGTTCTTGAAACCAACCCTTTGAATTATGTTGTACCAGATGAAGTCTCATGCATATCCCCACCAAACTATTGTAAGAGAGTTGGTTTGAATAAAAACCTTAGGGAATCTCCACGAACTAGGAGAACATTCAAAGCTCGGAAGAACTCCAACATAGTGAAGGGACAATGGACATCAGACGAAGACAGGTGCATAACTTCATGAAATATGTACTTTCCATGTTTAGACCTCTTGTTTTTAATGGCTATTTATGTAATCTTGTTCCATCATTTTTTTTCACATAATGGATTTGGCACGTTTCTGTTGAAAAAACACATCTGTGACTGCTTCCATAAACAGATTGTTGATGCAACTGGTCGACCAATATGGAATGAGGAAGTGGTCACATATAGCTCAGGCGTTGCCTGGAAGAATAGGGAAACAATGCAGAGAACGATGGCATAACCATTTAAGGCCAGACATTAAGGTTTCAATTTATTATTCATAAAAACAATGATGTTACACTTCTCATTACGAGTTGTTGAAGTTTATTCCTCATAAACCACAGAAGACCTTGATATATTTTTAAATATATTATACTCTTGAAATTCATAGTGCCGCCTTGTATTCAAAAAATAAATTGCAGAAGGACATATGGACCGAAGAAGAAGATAAGATACTGATCCAGGCTCATGCAGAGATAGGAAATAAGTGGGCAGAGATTGCAAAAAAATTACCTGGAAGAACTGAGAACTCCATCAAAAACCATTGGAACGCAACAAAGAGAAGACAATATTCCAAAAGAAAGTGTCGTTCAAAGTACCCTAGATGCTCTCTTCTTCAGGAATATATCAAGAGTTTGAATTTAGACCAAAATCCACCAATAGACTATCGAAAAAAATCTGCTAAAAATGCCAATGCCAGAACAAATAATAACGGCAAAGCAGCAGCTCAGACCCTGTGTGCTGATCAATTCTGTCTCAACGGTCAGTTGGTGCCAAAGTATGATTTTAACGAGGTCCCAGATTTTTGTTTAGATGATAACTTGTTTGAAGAGGGTTGTAGCATTGATTCTCTGCTAGATGATATGCAAAGTGCTTCAACTATGGATGAGAATTTTTTTGATAGAAAAGTGCAATGTGCTCCTACTATGCAGGGAAAGCAATCTCATCAAGGAGGCATCATGCAGTGTGTTCATGTCGTTGATGTTGATGAGCATCACGAGCTCAAGATGATGACACCAATTATGGGAATTGAAGTTAAGAAGGAGCTGGATTTAGTGGAGATGATATCGCACCATGTTAATGAAAGCATTGGTGTATGAGTTCTTGCTGCCATCATAGTACATAGTCTCCATGTTGAATAATTTCATTATTCCAAGTGTTGGAAAGTTTTTGTTTTTAATATATAACAATGATACAAGCATAGAGAGCTTGGACTCAGCTCTCGTACTGTTACCATATGCATGCACAACAATGGAAGAGAACGAACAAAAGAAATAAAGGTAGTAATAAAATCCAGGGTTGTGCTTGTTTAAGAATACACAAGGATAATATAAAATATTAGTTTTTGTCTCTTTTCTTTCACATTACAAAAATATCCAAGTTATCATATTTTTTGCAGTCTTATAAACTAACTCTGGATTCTTTCATGCCTCTTCCATATGTAGCTTCTGGGTGTTGAAGCCTTAAGGGTAAAAATTAATGGAAAGCAAAAAAATAAATACAAATTAAGTTTATTTAAAAATTAAAATCAGTTTATAAGCTTATAAAAACTTTCATATAATTTTTTTATAAAGATAAAGAAAGTGGCTAGATTTTTTTCATTTTTTCTGAAAAAGATATTTATAAACCTGTTTATTACTTCCTTTTACCAACGTTTTCTCATATCACACTCAATGTATGTTTTACTGCTGTATTGATTTTGTTTTTTAAGAATTCATGAGATTTAATTACTTCAATTGAATTTTTATATTTGTAGTTTTTTTTTCTTTTTTAAATAGATTAATTAATTTTTTGTATTCGCTAGGTTTCTTTATATAGATAGATAAATAAATAAAAGGATATCCTATTTTAATGTACACTTTTTATTATTTGTGTCGAACTTTCGTTGCACACTTATTAGTTTCTATCAATTAGTGATTTTTTTAATAAGATTTCATTTTTAATATTTTTTTCACAAATAGAGAGTAAGTAGCACACATATTTACATTTTCTTCCGTCTTAAATGATCATCTATTATAAAAAATATTAGATTAAAATAATATTATATTTGCTTTTTTTTGAGAATTTAAAATTTATATATACATATATATATATATATATATATATATATATATATATATATGCATTTTTATAAATGAGATATATGACATTATATATACATAAAATAAAAATATAATTAAAAATATTAATTATTAACAATATTTTATTCTTAATCAATAATATATTATACTTTTCTCTTATTCTAAATAATAATAAAAATATATTAATATTTAATTTAAATAATAATAATAATATTTTCAAAACTTTTTCATCTTATTCTTACTCAAATTTTAAATATTTTCATCTAATATATTCGTTATATTTTTTTCTATCTCTATTTTCGTTTTCACTTTCTTCCCAATTTCAATTGTTTCATCTATCTTTCATGTATTGGTTGAAGTCTTGATGAAGAGGAATGTGATAATGTTTTTTTTTTTGTTAAATATGGCTTGAACAATCAATTTTGTTTTGCTGCAAAAGCATATTTTTATGAGATTCATGTTTTAATTTTTTTTTAGGATATATGTTTTATTATTTTTTATTTAAATTAGATGTTAAGAGATTTTTAGAATAAAAAAAATATTATGTTACTATTTTAATTTAATAATTATAGTTAAGATATTGTTAATGTTTAATATTTTATCATATTTTATTCTATATATAAATAAAATTCATAAATAAAATAATTATCTGTATAATATATATATACATATATATATATATATATATATATATATATATATATATAATCATAAAAATTTTCACTAAAATTATAATTATAATTTAAGGTTGAGCAAGTTATTCCAAAGAAATTGTTTCATGTATCTTATAAAAGCTTGTTGACATTATTTTGGACTATGAGTGTAATAATGTAATTTTCTTTTTTGCTTTCAGAATCAAAATTTTCACACAGAAATGTATTTGCATGTATGTATTTTGTAGCAACACTAGTTATTACAGGAATATTAAGTTATTCTGACCAAAAAATTAAATTTACTTGAAAAACAAGTCATTGCAAATAAATTGCTTTATTTATCTTCAAGACATTTATATAACATTAATTTTTGCAATAAGTGTATGAATGTAATTTTTGTAATTGTCATAAACTATATTTAATGTAATGCTAAAAATGAAAAATTATTAATTAATATAATCAGTGTAATAAATAGTATTTTAAATTAAGATAATTGAATTTTTTAGGTACCTAATATAATTAGGAAATATATTTATTATTTAATATAAATAAATTATATATATTAATTTTACTTTTAAGATTATATATTTTAAAATAAATAACTATTATTTATTTTTTATATATTAAGTGTAATATAATAAAATTGAATAATTGTAAAGGTTATTTTTAAGTGCATAATTCAATTAAGTAAAATATTTCATACTTTTAATAAATAAATTAATGACATATAATTTACTTCTATTTTGAATACATTATGTACAATGACTTTTTTTATTTATAAATAATGTTGTCACGTATAATTGTAATTTTATAAATATATATTTATCATTTAAAGAATTATTAGTGGCAAAGTATATTAACATTTCACCCACATCTCTTTAGAACACTTTCTCTATATTAACTAAAATTTACTATAAATTATAAAATTTATGAATCTTGCTTATTTAATAAATCACCCCCATCATTTATAGTTTTCAATAAATTTAAACCCATAAAAAATATATTAGAAATATAATATTAAAAAAAGTTACTAACACTCATAGATATCAGATCAAGATCACCCAAAAATAATACCAAATCAAATTATAAATGTTTGCATGCATAAGCATCACACAACCTGAGTTTTATCACAACCATAGTTTTATTAAAGCATCACAACAACAATTTTATCCCATAATAAGATAAACTACTTCAATCACACAACCTCATTTGAAAAAATATTCTTCACTATGGTTCCATTAAAACATTGGACTCAAATATAGTTCTGGAGGAAGATAGTAGATCACCAAATAGAACAAAGTATCACAATGGGACATCACAAGCATTCTGCCGGAAAGCTCTCTCAGGATGTTCAGAATCAATTTTTGAGTGGTGAGGAAAATCAAAGGGCAAGTTATCAGCAGAAAGTCCCGCTTCATTGAACACCTTTATCACTTCTTCGTATACTACTGCATTTCCTTCTGCTGTCAGATGCAACCCATCACTTACACAGCAAAAAATACTGTCAGGTGGAATCTCCCATAATTTTCAAGGTAGTGGAGTTGATTTTATTACAGATAAAATGTGCACAAATAAAAAATATCGTTATATCACCGTACACTATCTTCTTAATATATTAGAAAAAAAGTAATAAATGAAAATAAAAAATATTTAATAGTTAGAAACATCAAGAGTGTTCAATATTTTATTCATTAAGCAATTCTGAGGGTATTGAAGGGGTATTAGAATTATTCTAAATTCAATTGCCCCTGAATAATGTCAGATACAAAATAAATCCCAAACCTAAATTTCTTACTCCTATCTCTTCTGCATTGATCAATTTTCATATATAAATAGAGGAAAGCATTTTACTCCGTCCTTAACAATCTAGAAGAGTAAATCCATGATGCCCTTAACAAGAGAACAGTTATCATATCTAGACCTAATATCTTCTAAGATAAACTTACCAATAAGTACTTCTACACAAGAAAATAAGAAGAAAAATAAAATAATTTTTTCCCTAAGTTAAATTATTTCATACATAAGTAATTTATAAAAACTCTCAAATTGACTTTTCCAAAACAGGCTTTTGACATATACATAAATTAGTTATAATTTATGGAAAAACTTATTTTACTTTTTATTTTTATTTTCTTCACTTAAAAAGTGTTTGCGAATAGATTTACCCAAACACACCCTCAATCAAGTGTAATCCATGATACAATTAAGATTAACTAGAACAGGGTCACACATATGTCAAAGTCAATATTTCTCAAGTCCAGGTTGTAACAAACCTCAAATATTTCGTTCGCCAGCCATCTGTTTCTTGCATTTTGGACCATAGATTGATATACCACACGCCCATTTCCTTTGCGACCTCAACACAGGAGTTAGCATATTGACCAGTTACTTCATTTGTTCTTTCAGGCACTTTGGTAGCCTTCTCACCATATATGGATCTGCAAGACCCAACAAAATCATTTCAAACATTAAGTTAACGGCTGTTGAACAATTAGAAGCCAATGTAAATGTAAATTGTAAACTAACATTCTCTTGCTGTGCCAGAAACATTATAATTTCATGGGTTGGCAAGTATAATACGAAAAACTAAACAAAAATGTGGCACAAAGTTTCAATACAGAAACTTTACTTCAAGGAGGTTTAGCAACAGAAAATCTTTCCCAATTAGATACTGACAGTCACTAGCATACTGTAAGAGTAGGTGGCATAGCAATAGACTAAAACAGTGATGTCATGGACTTCAGGTGTATATGACTCGAGGATAAATAATCAATTGGTGGTCTGGAAAAGATGGATGTAACAATTAGGCTTATAATTGCAATTATAATTTATAATGGCTGTGAATGTAGCAATTAGGGCATTTTTTTTTTGTAAGAAAAAAAGGAGTAAACCCTCCATTTTAGTCATAGAGATTGTAAATGTTGATCACTTTAGTTTTTTATTGTGCAAAATGTCATGCACTTCAATAATTTTCCACCAACACTAAGGGCTAAAATAAATAATAATGTTTGATAAAATCAGTGACCAAAGTGAGGAATTTTGTAAGGAAGGAAGTAACATGCGTTTATAACATGAGGGACTAAATTAGGGGTTTACCCAAAAAGTAAACATACTAGATGTACCATATGGTTAAGTGTGAATTGAATGTGTGTATGACATGATCAAACCTACAAATCATTTCACTAAAACGCACTACAATGAGGTTGTGTGCTGTTTGATGAATCGATCAAAGAATGACTTAATCACTTTAATATTTAGACCTGCAAGACCCACTACCAAGTATCTTAATATTAGTATGCAAGATCCACTACTCATGTACCTTAGCGTGCAAGACCTACCACCAAGTACCTTGGCACACAAGACTCATTTTCCAGTGGGGGCTGAAGTTAAATACTTTTGGGTCTATAAATAGACTCTTATGTCACATAACAAAAAGACTTAAATTGAATTTTCTGGCTTTAAATCTCTTAAGAACTTTTGACTAGAACATTTTGGTGTCCATTATGAAGCTAGGTGAAACACTTCCCAACACCCTCCAATCAAAGTTTCCTAAGAAATTATGGAGACCCTTCACTCCTATTTGGTCAAGGTCTTGGCCATGATCATCCATCCACATGCATACAAAGATCGAAGAATGTAAAGAACATGAGGTGGATAAGTTGTTGAGATATGTCTCATTTAGAGTCCAAATATGAATCAACTCAACTTAGGATTTTTATGTGTTGGAGTTAAACTTGGAAGATGTAACTGTGAGCGGAAGGCAAACCACAAAAAGGATGATAGAACATTTTGGACTCATTCTCTGCAAAATATAACAAAACAAACATTCCATCACACACACAACAATTATAATGACTTTTTATGACTTGTTCACTATCCAAGTATCTTAGCATGCAAGACCTACTACCCAAGTACTTCGGCGTGCAAAACCTACTACCCAAGTATCTTACTAAGCAAGACTCATTATCTACTGGGGTCTGAAGTTAAGTATTCTTGAGTCTATAAATAGACTCTTGATGCCACATAAAAAAACTTACAATAAATATTCTGACTTTAAATTTCTCAAGACTTTTTGAGTAGAACACTACTCAGACACGAGGAACAATTCCATTTGATATGGGTGAGACAGGTGTCATAAATATCCAAGTACATATTAGCACAGTAAGATGATGAATATAGAGGAAGGCAGATTATGAATACTAAATCTAGCAAGCAATTCATAAGTACATTGCATATGCCAGGCGTCCTTCCTCACAGATTGGTGGTGGAGTAATAAGCACAATTTGCATAGTTGGTGAGCATTCCTGAAACAAATTATCAGACTTACAATCAACAACAGATAATGTAATCAGCACTTGGGACGCAAATGAAAAAACTTCTACAGAAATTATTTGGACTTTGAAAATGGAAAAAAATTCCTAGAAGCTCTTTAGTTCATTTCAATAAGTTTCATAGTAAAAATTATAACATAAGATTTCATGTGATTATAGCTTATAGAACAAGTACTCGATTAAGTTGTTTATCCAAACATACGCTTGATAGTATAAGAGTAAACTTCATGATATGCCCAGCCTTTCTACCAACACAAAGTACTAAAACAACCAACAATAGGCTACTCCTTAATGAAGAAAATAACAAGCAAACAACAAAAAAGCTAGAGAAATCATGTGCCTTTGAAAGTAGAGGATAGAAAAAGCATCAGAATCATTCAATGAATTCAAAGCTTAAATGAAATCAAAATTTATTTCAGTGAACATTGTTGGTAGTCAAGACTAAATCAAACAAAAGACAATAATGTTTTAACATCACAGTAGGGAAAAAAAAAAAAAAACTCAAGACTCCAAAAAATATTTTTATTTTTATTTTTTTATCCAGGCCATTTTAAGAGTATTTGAGCCAGAATGCCCAGGAATCATTGCAAATATTTGCCTTAGATTGGTAGTTCAGTCCGCCAGTTCAACAAGGTTATACCTCTATTAAAATATATCATCCTGCATCATAGGCAAACCCAACCAAGGGAACACAAGTTTTCAGATAATGCACACAAAAATTAGAGTTAAAATGATGGCCAGGTAATTCAGAAACTGGTCAAATTTAAATGTAAACAATACTGAACAACAAAATCTAACCTTTAAGTGTCGAACAAATTTTCTAAGGTTCTCTTTGAACTCTTCAATAGGCACATGTTGCCTTTCACCGGTTCTTCCTAACAAAACTGCATCATTAGCCCCAAAGAATATTGTGGTAGCAATAGGTGGTGTAGTTGAGTCCTGGAAATAAAGCCATCCAAACAACTAAAAACTCACTCGAGATAATAAAATAATTTGCCAAAATAAACAAAAACCTTATTTTTAGGCCATGAAAGTTTTATTTTTTATTTTTTTTGGAGTGGGGTGGAGAGGCTTGGTGATCTGGATCTTTACTATTCCAAAACTATAATGTAAGTCTATGAGAAATTCAGTCAAATCAAATTTGGTTTTCTGGTCTGGCCGCCACCCTAAATGCTCAAACAAATTAATTTTCAGGTAGAAATTTCAAGATATCAGGTAAGTTCATATATAATTTTTTGTTCAAAGCAATGTTGGCCAAACATTCTTCAAGTTTGTGCAGACACCCTATTGGCAAAAATAACTGAATCATGAACTATATTTAAAAAGTAAGTATTTGATCTCTTCAAGTTATAGAAAATCCTTCTTTTTGGCATCAACCAATGTGCTAGGATTACTACACAGGCACATACCGGAAGCATGTTTTACCCATAGTAGTTACCCGACTAGTTCCAGAGCACTAGGAGATTTCTCTACGAGGGTTGTCCATCAAATGGGTAAAGTGACAGAACAGGAGAATTGAAATCCACAGCCATGGGAAAGGTAAGAATTCATCCTTAATCACTTGCATCAACCCATATTGGTCTTTAGTTATACAAAACCTAGTCTAACGTGACTGAGACACAATTTTAAATATTGTTTCATTATTTTCATTATCAAACAATGAAGTCAGCACAAAACAGTGATCAAATTTGAGGTTAAAAAGGGGCAAATGTGCACACGCCAACAGGACAAAAGTGAGAATAGCATACCAGAGGGAAGAGGTGGTGCAGTAAGAACATAGCCCACCTAGTGTTGTATCCACCATAACCACGAACAAGTACATCAGCCTGAAAATGCAAGCCATTAATAATTTACAGAAAACGGATCTGATGAGAGAATGTTTGGGTGAGAAAAAATGTTACCCTGCGAGAATAGGTATTGGCAAGAGGAACACCCCATCCATTCTCTTTGATGGATTGCTCAGTTATGGAATCTCCGAACAGCACTATCTTTGGCCTCATCATCGCGTTCGCAAGCGCCAACGCGATTCTATGTTGTTTTCACCGTTGTTGCACACCATTAAACATTAAAATGATGTTGCTTAATCTGACACGTTTTACTCGGATGAATTGCGTGCTACTCAAGCTCGCTGATTCTTACAATTTTGTGTCATTCAACATCCTCCCCATGGAGTGTTAATAAAAAATTAAAGAGACGTTAACTATTCTTTAATTTTATAGTTTAATGTACTTATTTAATATTTTATTTAGTAAATAAATAAATAGTGCCATATTAATACTAATATCAAAAGTGACAAATTTTAATTCTAGATTAATCAAAACAAAGAAAAAAATTAATGGGACAAAAGTTTAAAAATACTTATTTTGCATGAATAAAAATCTATTTATGTGTAAAACAATTATTTTAAATATACACTTTATTTATAATTTAAAATAATTAGAAATTTTTATTGTTATTTATAATTTTTAAAATAAAGAAAAAAATTACAACATTTAATATTTTGAGGATAAAATGTGCCAACAATAGAAGTTAAGAATAAAATTCACTAAACAAAAGAATAACTAAAAAGCGCAATTAACTTTTTAACTTATTTTTTAAAAATGAACAAATTATAAACTTCATAATTTTATTAATAAACCATATTATTTTTGAATATTTTTATTTTAGTTATTTTGATATGTTAGAGTTAGTGCAAAAGCTTTAATTATTTTTAATCTAAAATGGTTAAGTGATAAAAACGTACTTGAATGGTATAAATAGATGACCAATATTTACTATGTTCAGTTTATATTAACATGTAATTACTTTGCTCATATTATACTCTTATTTTAATGTAAAATGTTTATATAAAGTTGATTATTTAAAATAATAATGAGTACGCTTTTTTATATGTAATTAAGAAAATGTTTTTTTTTTTGGGAAATTCACAATTAAGAAAATATTTTCTTATGTATTTTAAGATATGAGACTCCAGCATACAATTGAATTCTTAAATATTAAATATTGAGAGAAAAAAAAACTCAATTCAGCTTTTATTTATTTATCAAGATTACTTGATTAATAAGCAAATCTCATTAATTTATGATTTTTTAAACTGTTTTAAGTTAAATACTCATTTTTGTACATATCTAATCTACATAATATATTTAAATTGACAATTAAATATTAATATTTACTGGGAGATAGTAATTTCTGCTTACTTAATATTATTATTTTTAATACACGAAAAAATTTCAAAATTAATTTATCTTCGAGTTAGATAATCGGTCTCTCGAATTATCAAAGAAATTTCATCCATTAATAATATTATCATAAACCCATTACATCAAGTTAGAATGGAATCATTTCACACTAATAAACATTTCAACTTAATCATACATAATTACCCCAAACAAACAAATGTTACACATTATTTATATGAGTGAACCTAATATATTCAAATTATATCAACTTCAATAATGCATCAAATTTTATCTTTGGATGAGAATTAGAATGTGTACATTGTGATTTGTTAAACCTACTACTGTGACTATCTTTCCTATAGAATGATGCTTGCAAAATGTGATGGTCTCTGGAAAACTTCTCTACAAATATTATCATTTTTAAATATTCGGTGATGCTAAATATTTTAATTATTTACATTATATATCGTTTTACCTCTAATATTATTAACTGTTCCAGATCCAATTATATAAAATTAGTTTAAAATGAACTAGAAATTATAACTTTTAGTAAGTAAATTTCCAACAACTTTGAAAATAGTCAATCGTTCATGTTGCATCATATATGTTGCATCATATGTGTGCGTTTCTTGAGTTCCCCATAGTCTTTTCGTTCTAAGCAATGATACCATTACAACTTGATAGAACACAATTTCAGTATCTTGAATAATAAAGATAATAATGCTTATCAAAGACAGTGCATCCATTGTTAGATTTCCACTAAGTTATGCTCCATATCATGGATCATGCCATGGGTCCTCGAGCGCCACAATTCCTCATCTCCTTTGTGGAAACAATCTTTTTCAAATATCTTCAAGGAAATAAATATTTATCAAAGTAGACAGACAATTATCACAATTCACTGTCAGACAGCATTACTGAATGAGAAATTATTGTATGATTTAGGACCATGTATCCATGATTCTGAATGTAAGACATAGTTAGATTAGATTCCTATTTACTATTACTCATAAATTGAAAAATGTGACTGTGTCCCATAGAAATTGGTCAAGACATTAAACATGGTGTTCTTTGACTATACAGACATTGAAAGATATTCAAATTTCACAATAGGCAATAAAAGTAAAAAGACCTTCGGGTATGGTAGTCAGTCATCAATCAATATCATCATAAAGTTGATTTATGAGAAATCTATTTTGCTGATAATCACTTGCTGTCCCACATGTTCAATATAAGCAAGACAAATGAAAGATAAAATCACTTGCATGAGGATACCCACCAACCCAATGATAATAATATTAAATAGTAAAGAATCCACTTCATTATCGAGTAGATTTGTAATGACTAATGAACCTACCCCATTACTAGTTTAGCCATTACGTTCATTAATCTCACGTGGCCATAACACAACTGCAGATAGGTGTTATCCATGATTATTTACTGATACATCTAATCTAACCCTATGGTCCAACATTGTAAACAAAAGTAGGTGCGTATATTAACTCCCATTTAACTCTGGCCATTACTGGAAAGCAGAACGAGGTGGTGCAAGTCTGTCTACATCTTTGAAAGGACTGCTTAGTGCTTATGAAGAGAAGGATTTAACTTGAGAATGAGTTGGCTGACAAATGTAGGACCACTGATTCACTTAGATTACAACTTGAAACTAATGCTGTCTGCACAAGTTTTCCAATCAGGAAAAGGCAAACTCTAGCTAACAAAGCATGTCTAACATCATCCTGGCATGCTTTCATTGTCACTATGTGTTGAAATCAGTACTTCTTCTAATGATCTTTATATAGCATAAGTATATATAGACATCAAAATCACTATTCTTTTTAAAGTAAGGTATAGTGAAAAAAAAATGACTAAATGCATGCTTGATTTATGCACCAACAATTCCCTACATCAACCACCCTTTTACCACAGTGATAAACAGATAAAGCAAATTGTTTGAAGCCATCCACAATTAAATGTTGTCTGCAATTTGGATTTATAGTTTTATGAAAGTTTAATTATAAAGTTGATCTCTACAGTTGACACCTTTTCTTTTAGTACATTTTTTTTGTTTTAAGCCCTACCTGAAAAAGAATTACACTTCATTAGAAAACTCTACATTTTGGGACCTACACATGACTATTTTTCATTTTGGTCCCCACATGAAAAACACTCTTAACTCCCTCATAACTTTATTAAACAAAAAATGGTGTCAGGTAGTGAAAGGACCAAATTTATAATTAAACCTTTTACATATGTTACAGAGCATATGCAGTAAATTTGACAACGAACCAGCTTGAAGGCAAGGTCTATAATTCACTTAGAACTAACAACACATTTATACAATGCTTTATTTAGCAACAAAGTGTAAGATTTTATCAGAATCTTTATTTCCAAATCCCCTCATTTTTTTTGTATTTTTTTACGGTTTACATATACACTACAAATAAATAAACCTAAGACAGTTAGATCCAACACCATCTATCCATCAACTTGAAAGTAACCCTCTCATTCTGTATTAAGGTATAATGTAGTCAATATGGTTAAATATTGAAATAAAGAGTCAAATATAAACATCTATAAGATGACTTCTATTACATAAATCAAGCTCATGACCTCTAGTGCACTACTTAAAACTATTTCCAACCAACCTAAGGATACCATATTAGCTTTGAAGGTGAATCATTGGAATCTTGTCTAATGGTTGTGAACTAGTACTTTTCTTGAACTTGATCTCCTTCACGATCATGATTGATCCTAGGTGGCTTTACCCTCTCAATTGAGTTACTCGAGGACATTGAATCCTTTGAGATAGTTCCATAAGTAGGAATAGTATCTTCACATGATGTTGGAGTTGAATTCCTTGATTTTTGATTGAGGATCTCCCCATGACTCCTTGTAATAATTTCGTCAAGAATTTCCCCACTACTAATATTGACTGCTGTTGTCCGACTACCTGAATCCTGTTAGGTGAATAAAGATTAATCTATGAACAAGATCTTCGAGAGATATATATGTAATATAATGCTAGAAAGTATGAATATTTTGTGGTCTAAGCTGGCCGAGTCTGTACTCCACGCATCAGAAAACCACAGAAAAGCCATTTCTTATCAGAAAACGGTCATGTTGAAAAAAGAAAATTAATCCTTGTATAAACCTTATTATAATGTAAAAGGATTAAACTGGAGCATGTGTTATGCATCCTCAGTTATGAATGCACTTCTTAAACTAATTTGATAATGGTTCAAACTACCTACTTCGAATGACAAGTTGAAACTAATAGCAGGTACTTCCTCATATGCTGCAGCATCCAACTCTTGAAGATGGGCTCCCTTAAAAAACTTGGGAAGGAAATATTGACGTACTGGGATAAGAAGCATGATTAACATTGGGAAAAGGACCCCAGCAATTGGTATCCAGGTTAGACCAAAGCAGAGAAGCAAATAAGCTGTCTGGAATAATGTAAACAAGGCAACCGTTTTGAAAGGAACGGTCTCAATAAAGGTCGCATGGTGTTTCTCCAGCACTCTAGTAAAGAGAAAAGAAAAAGGAATCATCATCTTCAACATTAAAAAATTTTAATGATAATAAAGATGGACATTCATGATATGCTAAAACATGTTAATCTTAACATGGATATATGTTGTAGGAGTTTAGGAATAAGCACAATCCCAACAGATCATTAATTTCTTATAAATATTTGATTAAAAATGAATAAATAAATTGGTAGTGAGATTCTACAAAATTAAAGAATGTATGCTTCTTATACACTTAAAATAGGAAGTTGATGCAGGAAGAAATGTTTTGCACTATTTATATGCATG